TTGGCTGTTAGGTTGTCAATCAAACTCCCTACGTTTCTAGTGTAACTGACTCGTTGGCAAGCAGGGATTACGTGGTTTATGCAGTGGTTCTTAGAGGCTTTTTCAAACTGTCACTTCCTCGCAATTTACACAAAGTTTGTTGCGATGGCAGACAAGAATCCATGACTAGTTCACTACAAAAGAAAGGCCGTTTTTGAGGTTGCGGAAAGAAGAAGAGAAGGGGAAAAGGACCCAAGACAAACTGAGGTGAATCTTGAAGATTCCTTCCAACGATGGCGTGATTGAAGCACATGAAGGGTCAAAAAACTGACACGTCGGTTGCTAAAATATTTCTAGTCGGGTCACTTCAACAGTAATTCTGAACGCGCACTGGATGTAAACAAGCGTGATTTCTAGAGTAAAGAGGCGTGAGGAGGTGTTTCTACTGAGGGAGCTGTGGAGGAGGAAGGTGGTGTCACGCATGCACAACATTTGAAAAAAAACTGTCGCTGTATTTCACTTCCCTTAAAAAATCCTCTATACAACCTTTAAGTAACACACTTGTTCCACCACTGGGCCTGCCGTGGTCCATAGTGGCTCACAGATCATTGACAGTGGCTCATTCACACATGTTGGTTGTGTCAGTGCTGTTTGCTCAGACTGAGGTGTGGCCAGTGGCTTCATGTTTCATTGTTCATCATTCAGACCTCACTTTGATCTCATTCCAAAGCACGGTACAGACATACAAGTGTGGATAGATAGCAGCAGAAGATTTAGTGGTTCAAACACTGACTCCTTTATGACCGCATGTGGACTTTGCTCAGTGATAAGTCGGGAGGGCAGTAGCGGTCTTCATTCACTCAGAGGAAATCCTGTGAACGCTGCGGACCAAACTTCTCAAGAACATCTGAAGACTCTACATTCAGGTGAGTTGGCTTTTTTCATGTTTGCCAGTATTTCCCAATTTTCACTTGGTGTGTAGGCTGCGCTTTTACAGTTTAACAAAGTTACTACAATCACAACTGAACCTGGTTGCCGGCAGATAAAGGATACATCCAAGTTTGTCTCATTCCCAGGATATGGACAGGCCTTATGTGAAAGCTTAGAACCTCCAGATCAGAGAGGCATTTTAGGTTTAAACCAACTGGATTTAGAATAATGTAATAGCTTTAGTTATAATTTTCTGGCAGATTCAAATAATGCAAAACAGAATAAAATAACTGCTTATTGTACAAATGCTATTCTATTTAAGTGTGTTTAAAAATTTCTCAAATTTCAAATCAAAATCTTACATACAGTTCCTTACAGTACAATACACCAGATCTAAACCAGGCCTGTAACAAGACTTGGTCCACTCAGGGGTTTGACTCTGTAACTACTAGGACAATGGTGTGAACCTTCCTCTTTTAAACAAAGACTATTGTGTAATGCTTTGTGGGTATTATCTTATATGCAGTAAAACATCAGGCTTTATGGTGTCATGACTCACTCTCTCTGATCTGAACGGTCACTCCCTAAACCCCAGCACGTGCACCAATCAGCACGTCCAATGAATCAGTGCTAGTGCCGCCTCTGCAGCTCAGGAGGGAATTCTGGAGGTTCTGAGAGACATCCTGCATTTTTCTCATTCTCAGTTTATGGACAAAACATGACTCATGTGAAATCTATCTGCAGATGAAGGCTCTGGAGACACAGGTTCAGATGTGATTGTAGTACTTTTTTTTTGTTTTTGTGAGGAATCCCTCAGTCGTCCAGGTAGAATCCATGGCAAGGAGAAAATTCAGTTTGTCGACTGGACAGAAGTTAGTTTGGTTGAAGACATTTCGCAGCTCATCCAAGAACTGAAGAAGCAGTTTGGATGAGCTGCGAAACATCTTTAACCAAACTAACTTCTGTCCAGTCGACAAACTGAAATTTCTCCTCACCATACTTTTTTTTTTTTATACACGAGAGCACAGGTTATGTTCTGTTCCTTTAAGATGTGGCTATGTGTTTTGTTTAGGTTTTTTTAAGGATTGTTTCTGCTTAGTTGTAGTAGCTCATATCTTAAAAGATTGAGATCTTAACGATAGCAGTAAACTCTTATCTGGCAAAATAGCTCACTTCAAAATGTGTCACTGCTTTATCAATCAATCAATTAACCAACAACTTTATTTATCCCAAAGGAAAATTCAGTTCACAAATTTCTGATCGTGCATAATCCATAAATAAATGAAATTTAAAAGTTGAATACCTACAACACACACCAGACAGTCAAACCTCATCAGGGGACACAATAGCAAATTTACTTTCCATTTAAAATCTTTATGGCAGACGGAACTTAAAAAGCAGCTGTTGGTCTTTTGTTATGGAGTGACATATCACACCTCAGGGGGCATTTGTACAAACTGTAAGTGCAGTACATGGTCAGAATAGCCGTAGAATAAAAGATTATTAAAAGACTAAGGAAGAATATGGAAGAAGCCTTTGCCAGGGCCAGGGTTTGCATAGGGATGGTGGGGACATGTCATAACCAGTATATGGGGAAGACAAAATAGTCTCTACCTATATTTGTCTTTTTTTTGTAATAAACAAAAATATAAATTTATTCCGGTATTTTTCCAAACTCAACAGTATTAACTGAACACATTTTAGTTCACATTTTGTTTATTAGATGTTCTGAGATGTATTCAGTGATATGACAGGGTTACACCTGCCGCTCTTTCATTGGCTGTAACAGAGTGATGTCATTAGTGCAGCCAGGAACCTAAACTGGGGAAGTGACAGGACAGGGCAGCATCTGAAGATGGTGGCTTGAGCAGGTGTGAGTGAAGACGCTTCACCAAACTTTGAAAAACTTTTCAAAAGGAACATACTTGGCTTCATCTTCAGTTAAATTTGTCACCACAGAAAGAGCAACTATCGCTACAGGTGCACCTCCCAAACGGAGCCCTACTCGTGCACTGTTAGCAGCCTGACTCTACTGACAATATTCCATAGAAAACTGTACGGGCATGACCTCACAAATATCACATCACCAACAAGCAAAGGGAAATCTGCTACAAACTTCTACAAATCCACTAAAGAATCATCTTAGAAGAGCAATGGACACAAACTGTACATTTTGTGAACTGAAAAATGAAACCACCTCTCACTTATTTTGGACCTGCCCAGACTGTGTTTTTGAAAAGAATTCATAAAACATATACACAACTTCTTATCCCATTTTACCCTTTTTTTAAAGATATGCTGTTTGTTTTTTTGCGGTGTGCATCATACAAAAAGTAAACAATATTATATAATTAATCTGTTAATCAGGCAGCCTATTAGTTGGTTTCATGGGGGGGATTAGGGATAATGTCCCCACCAAAGCTGAAACCAAACCTACGCCTTTGCTTCAAAAACTGCTCAAAACACACCTTTACCTTTTCCTGACAGCCTACAGGCCCTGCATATGACTGCTCCTTAATACTGTCTGTCCTGTCCTTTTAGTTTTAGTGTTACTTTATTGTGAAGCGTGATTGTGTTTTTGTGAAAAGCTCTACATAAAACCCATGTATTATTGTTATTATTAAAAATGTGTTTGTACATTGTAACTTGTAACTTTGGACCACTGCAAGCTGTTTAGTTGTTTTTGTCCAAGATAATAAGACAAATCAGGAACAGTTCATTTATGGTTAGAGTTTAGGTCAAAATGAGGCAGATAGTGACTATGGTTAAAGGTTGTATAGAGGATTTTTTTAAGAGAAGTGAAATACAGTGACAGTCCTTTTTCAAATGTTGTGCATGTGCGACACCACCTCCCTCCTCCACAGCTCCTTCAGTAGAAACACCTCCTCCTGCCTCTTTACTCTAGAAATCACACTTGTTTTCATCCAGTGCGCGTTCACCTGATTAGAAATATTTTAGCGACCAGCGTTTTTAGACCCTTCGTCTGCTTCAGTCACGCCATGGCTTTTGTCTTCGCTCCTTTTCCCCTTCTCTTCTTTCAGCGACCTGAAAAATGGACTTTCTTTTGCGGCGAACTGGTCGTGGATAATCCGTGTATCATTCGTTCATTCGTTTTTCAATATAAAACCAAAAATAAGAAAACGAAAAAACTACTTTTTTCTTCATTATTTGTCTCCAAAACCAAAATGAAAAAAACGATAATGATTCGTTTTTTTCAGTTTTCGATTTTGTGTTTAAATGAAGAATGGAAAAAAGGATAATGGTCCGATCCAGGTCCGGGACCAGACTGGAGGCTCAGAGCCCATGGCAGAGCCGGAGCTCGAAGCTGAGGCTCGGACCCCGCGGAGGCTCGGGATCAAAGCTTGGAGTCCACCCTGGTCCCGCTCTGGTCCTGGACCTGGATCAGTCCTGGTTCAGTCTGTATGCAGTGCAAAAGTCCGGCATCGCAGTCACAGAAGTCACGTAAACGGGAAACAGCCGTTATCCATTTTTTCCATTCTTCATTTAAACACAAAATCGAAAACTGTAAAAAAGGAATCATTATCCATATATTTCATTTTGGTTTTGGAGACAAATAATGAAGAAAACAGTTGTTTTTTCATCTTTTTATTTTAGATTTTATATTGAAAAACAAATTAGCAAATGATACACTGATTATGGATTCTCGTCCACCATCGCGACAAACTTTTGCGAGGAAGCGACAGTTTGAAAAAGCCTTTAAGAACCGCTGCATAAACCACATAATCCCCACGCGCCTGCGAGTCAGTTACATTAGAAACGTAGGGAGTTTGATTGACAACCTAACAGCCAATAGATAAAGCGAGGGGCCTTGTTTTCTATTGGCTGGTATCTGTCCTCACTACGTTCACAGTTGATAGATTTTCATTCTTTTTTTTTTTTGGTCACCATAATTACAAGGCTGCTGTGTCTCTGTAATGGTATTTTAAACTTCCAATGACAATTTGAAACTAAAAGAAAAACCCTCCATACAACCTTTAAGTCCAGTATCAGTGTCCAGGAAATGAATGGAAGTCAATGTAACGTCCCCAAAAGGTGCATGTGTGTGTGTGTGTGTGTGTGTGTCTGTAGGTATGTCCTTGTCTCGCGTCGTTCTGTCCCCGGTGCAGTTCCGCTGTCCTCTGTGTCGGGGAGTCTTCTCGGAGCCCGTGTCCATCCCGTGTGGACACAGCTTCTGCTTCAGCTGCATCACGTCTCACTGGGACCAGAGCACACGAGTGTCCTGTCCGAAGTGTCACACAGTGTTTCCCACCCGGCCCCAGCTGTGTGAGAACGCCTTCGCCAAAGACATGTGCACCCAGATAAAGGCCAAGAGTCTCCCCCCGCAGGCTGAGAGGGTGTACTGCGATGTGTGTGTGGGCGACAGGACACAGGTATGAAAGTACTGTGACAAAAACATGATGTGTGAGTAGATCTGTCAGCTTTTATTGGGTGAAATAGACTCTGTTGTTCTGTTGGTATTTTTGATATTTCTGTATAAAAAAGCAGATTAATCTCATGATTCACAAATGTAATCTTCTTTAGTCCGCTGCAGGTGGAGTCTCATGAGTACAGTTTGCTTCAGCTACACAAAGATATGTAATAGTTTTGAGCTCTTTAACCACACTCCCCTTTATAGTTGCTCAATCGATTGGCAGGACATGTCTTTAATCCAATAAAAATGTGTTTGGTTTAATACAGCGCTACTGATCTGTTTTTCAAATGAACTCTTCAAATCTTTATTTCTTATTTATTTATTTGTAAAAAGACACCACATATTATAACATGTTCTTCACAGTCAGTTTGAGTTGTTCCATCAGGCAGAAGGTTCAGGGTCCCAAACTGTAAACTGAACAGATTCAAACATTCTTTTGTGCCACTAGCTGTTAATCTGCTAAACTCCAATAGTGCAATTAAAAATAATTATAAAAGGCTTAAAAACTGCACATAGGCTTAGGGAATGTGCAGTAATTAATAGAATACAAGAATGCAAGGGCTTGCCTGTTAAGAATAATTTAAAGGTCCTGTTGGTGCATCACTCGTGGTCATACTTGGTCTCATATTTATTTTGTTCTATGGTGTTTGTTTATGTGGAGATTTGTGTTGTGTTGTCCTGTTTTTTGATAAAGCATGTTACTCCCTGTCCCAAGCAAATTTCTCCCATGGGATACAATAAAGGATTATCTTATCTTATCTTAATATATGTAAAGATTATTGTCAGTGTGGCTCATTTCCATCTTCAGTTCCTCGACAGGTTCATGTGAAATCATTTACATGACCGATAAAAGTATAGCAACAAGCACACATAAGTACATAACACCAGCACACTCTCTATACATACAACACACTCACTATAAATCACTATAACTATAACCTAGTATAAATCTAAAGTGCTCAAATCAAGACACTTTCCTTATTGGTTCATTCATTAAAGTCCATTGTCCTCCTGTTCTCCCTCTGTCCCTCACAGGCGGTCCGGTCCTGTCTCGTGTGCCTGGCCTCGTATTGCCAGACCCACCTGGAGCCTCACAGCCGGGTGCCCACGCTGCGCACACACACCCTGGTCGCTCCAGTGGGGGCGCTGGAGAGCCGCCTGTGCAAGCGTCACCAGCGCGTCCTGGAGCTGTTCTGCCGGAGCGAGGGCAGCTGTGTGTGCGTACTGTGTGCAGAGGCGGGGCATCAGGGGCACGTCATGGTGCCTGTGGAGCGGCAGAGTCAGCTCGTCAAGGTCAGCTCCCATACGGGGTCAAGAGCAACTGTCACACAGAATAGAAATTTTGGAGTGACATCGCGCTGGGGCTGTTCTACATGTATCTCCATGGTGGAATGTTTGGTAATGTAGGCAATGAAGGGCAGGGCAGATGTTGATACTGTTAAATCTTCAAACTTCTGATTTACAAATGTTGAACTTTGTCATTATTGGTTTGCCATGTTGATCTTGTACTTAAAGTTAGGTATTATGCAAAATCTACTTTTTGGAGCTTTCTACCATGCTATAATGTTGTTCCCTCAACACAAACATGCCTAAAGAGGTTTTAGATGTTGCTCTAAGATTGTATACAAGGCTCTGCCCTCAAGCCTACGTCGCCCATGCTCATGCACAGCCAGTTTTCATAAATATGTTTAAAAAATGAGATAAGATGATACCAGCTTGACAAACCTGATGTGTTGTAGTTTCATTAGCAGGATCCAAATTCAATCCAAATCCAAATCGACTTTCCAATTCAAATTTCTACAGCACAAAGCAAATTCTAAAGTGCTGCACAGAGATCAGAAAATGAACAAAACAAACAAAAAAGGTAAATTGCTCAAATTTGGTCATGCCAGTCCTAAAACAATAAAACCAGTAAAATCTAAATAAAAGCTAAACCATTAAAAACATAAAATAACAGTAAATAAGTAAAATAAATAAAAGACAGTGGAGCACACAACTCACGCAGTGTAAAAAGCCACAGACTAAAAGTGGGTTTTAAGATGAGACTTAAAACACTCCACTGTGGGGACTGTTGGGATGTGGGGGGCAGAGTGTTCCGGAGCTTAGGGCCGGTCACAGAGAAGGACCTGCTCCCTGGTTTTAAGTCTTGTTTTAGGTCCCATGAGCTGGAGCTGGCCCTCGGACCTCAAAGTGCGCACAGGGTAATCTGGATGAGGTCCAAGACATACCAGTCCATTCAAAGCTTTAACAAACAATAAAATCTTAAAATTAACTCTAAAACGAACTGGAAGCCAGTGCAAAGACTCTAAAAAACGGGGTAATGTGCTCATGTTTTTACACAATGATTGTCTCGTGAAAGAGCTCTGAAGGGGGAATGACAGAGGCTGTGTCCCAATTCAAAGGGCTGCAGCCTCCGAAGGCTGTGAAGGCTGCAGCCCTTGAACTGGCCTCCGCGGACGCCAGGCCGTTGCGGAAATGGGACAGGTCTAGACCACAGAGCCGCTCCCCTGTCGCCTAGCAACCGAGGGACGCTGCTAGTGCTAATGCTAATGCTAACACGCTCCGCGCAGATTCCGCATACGGATCAGTAAAAAGACGCACAGGTCATCAAACTGTCGGATTTTGTGACCAAATTATTTTAATAATTCGCATCCAAATCTTATGGCCAAAACCGAAAATGTATGTTTAACTTTTGCAAAACAAAACGGCTATATTTAAGGGATTAAAATTAAAATAAAATAAAAAACTGTGATGAGATATGCATTACTAAATATTATCATTATTAAGGATTTTTATATTGACCAGGGATTACATTTATACAGTCAGTTTGTAAAGAAAGAAAGACATCTCTCCTGAGAAAAGATGATTTATTAAACAGTCCAAGGAACTTCTGGAAATACTTTATCATAATATGAAGTCAAATATTAAACCCATTACACACACTCTGCATAACAGGTTAGTACAAACAGCTGTATGTCAGTAAATCTCATTGTGTTCCCTTTTTGCTGAAGCAAGTGACAATCAAAAATGAACAAATTATCTTTGCCAAATATGATCATGTGGAATACCACAGCTTATCTGCAGTAGAATAGTACATTCTTATAGTACATGTAATTAGTTACTATCAAAAGAGACACCAAATAAACGGCACATTTCACCATAAATCAAATGTCAGTACAGACTGAAAAACATTCAGAAAAACCTATGAGCAGATGTTTTCATTTGTCTCACACACTTGTTCAGATCATATAAGACTCTGGACCTCCTCCTCAGAGACTCTAGGCATAAACATTGGAGACATGGACAGTGGACTTGGACCACTCAGTCTGATGTGTCTCTCGTCTTCTGGAGGAGGAAGAGCAGAATGGGTGTTAGGTCTGATTGATTCAAAGTTCTGTCCTGCAGAGTGAAAACCTGTAATGACACACACATTAAGAAAACTACAAAACTATTAGAGGAAAATAAGTTTCACAGAGCATGCAGCCCCAAAGAACACCTGGACTCCCCCCGCACTATTTACATTTATTATTATTTATTTATACACAAGGAAGTGAGAAAAACAATTTTGATTCTTTATGTTTTTCGTATGAAGAATTGACAATAAACAATTTTAACGTTGAACTTAAACTTTGATGTACATTCAGATTCAAAGCCAGTTTATATCTGAAACAGCTAAGTGAATAGAGGAATCCCACACATGTGACAAATACATATTTTCACAATTTAAATCATAATTTGAACATGAGCATGATTCATTTGCAGCTCTTATTATTAGTAGAAACAGGCCTTGTTTCACCGGAAGTGACGTATGCGGCCTTAAAACCAGCCTTCGGAGGCTGCAGCCCTCGAATTGGGACACAGCCTTAGTGTGGGGAGCAAAGGGAAGATTCAGTGTCAAAAATGAAACTTGCTGAATATAGCAATTTCAAAACAAAAAAGGTAACACAGTGATCTATGTCATATGTTAGCAGTAAAGGCTCCACAGAATCAAATCAAAGTCAATGTCATTCGGACCTGAGTTTGAGTAACCCACTGTCAAGTCTTTACTTTCGGAATGCAGGTCCAACTTGAAAAAAACAGGGAAACAGACACAAGGCTCCACTCGGCTTGAAGATTTTTATTGAAATAATTTGATTCCTTTAGTAGCAGTAGCAGTAATAGTGGTACTTGTACTTGTAGTTGTACTAGCTGCAGCAGTAGCAGCAGCAGGTCGAAAACCAGTAGTGTCTCTGTGTTTCCCCTCACATTCCTTCGTTTGGTTTTGTTTGTGTTTCTTCTTCTTCTTCTAATCGTTTCCGGCAGGCTACATGTTGCAGTGCGCAATGCTGCCCTCCACCGTCGTTAAAAGATATTATATTCTCAGATAAAGGCCAGAGCGGCGAAGAAACTAAACTATTATCCGAAGAAAGAATAGCTTTGAGCGAAAAGGTTACAAGTCCCAGGTCCGCTAGCTCCTTGTAGAGCTGCCTCCTCTCTCTGCTGTAGGTGCTGCATGACAACAATGTGTGTCTTACGGTTTCTGGCCTGTCACAGTTGCAGAGACCATTGGGGTGCTTCCTGATTTTAAATAAGCACGCAGCCAATCCACAGTGCCCTAATCGCAACCTTGTTAAGACCACTTCGTCTCTTCTGCAGCTGGACCCACCATTCCTGCTATTTTGTATTAACGGCTGACAGGCAAAGAAGTGCCTGCCCCGCCGTTCCCCCTCCCATTCTTTTTGCCATTTATTATTCAGGTGTTGCTTACAGACACTGTGGCATTCCTGCTTCGCCAGTGTAACGACAAGGTCTATTTTCTTATTCCAAAGTGCCTTTTTAGCCAGGACATCAGCTTCCTCGTTCCCCAATATACCAGCATGTCCTGGGATCCAAACAAATAATACTCTCGATCCCGAGTTATTGATACGCTTTAGACAGCATAGAATCTCAAATATTAGATCAGGGCGAGTCTCAGATGACCTGTGACTAAGGGCAGATAAAGCTGCCGCAGAATCAGAACACACTATATAGTACACAGGGGGAGTTCTCCAATCCACTGTAATGCCCACAAAATAGCAAGAAGCTCAGCTGAAAACACTGAGAGGTCATCTGACACACGCACACTTTGCCTCACCTGCGCCTCAGCAACATACATTCCAAAGCCCACCTTTTGCCCCTTTTTAGACCTGTCAGTGAAAATAGGAATGGCTTCACTCTCGCTGCTCAAAAAATCCTTAAAGTGAGCACAAGCAATTCTTTTGTCAAGCCCGAGTAACTCGGTGCTAACCTCTGGCTCAGGTAAGTTCCACAAAGGTACAGGAGGCCACACCAGACTCACTACCTGAGTTTTCCGCAACCCCATAGCTTCTGCCACTTTTGCACTGTGGGCAAAAAAACAGGCTTTGTCTGGCCTCTTTTCAAACTCCCAACAATGATCGAACAGACACTTAGATGCTAAGTTGCTGTGTGATCCTGCCACCCTAGCCCAATAATGGACCCCTAACTTGTCCCGTCTAAGCCTCAGAGGACATTCACCCATTTCCACCAGTAAAGATGGGATAGAGGTTGATCTAAAGGCACCACAGCAGACCCGAAGCGCTTTTGACTGTACCCCATCTAGTCTTTTTAACACAGATTGAGAAGCAGCCCCAAATACTACACACCCGTAGTCAAGCACTGGTCTAACCATGGCTCTGTAGATCATTTGAAGAGTGACCCTCTCTGCACCCCAGTCACTCCCTGACAAGCTTCTCATAATGTTTATCACCTTCTCACTTTTGTTAATGATTTTATCTATGTGGGTTTTCCAGGTCAACCTCTCGTCAAACCATAAGCCTAAAAATTTAAACACTTTAACCCTCTCGATTGGTAAATTACACATAGTGAGACTATCAGAGGGCATTTTCCTTTTCAAACCAAATATCATGAACTTGCTTTTCTCAATTGACAGTTTAAAACCCCATTTATTTCCCCACTGAATAACTTTGTTAAGAGCCTTTTGAGTTTCTGTGAAAACATATTTGATATTCCTCCTACTCCTCCAGATGGCGCCATCGTCAGCAAACAGTGACTTACCAAATCTACTGTCTACACAGTGAAATATATCGTTAACCATTATGTTAAATAAAATCGGACTAATCACTGCACCTTGGGGTGTGCCATTTTCTATCTCAACTATATCTGATAGTGTATTACCTACCCTTACCTGAATTGTCCTATCACATAAAAAACTCTTTATCCAACTAAACATCCTACCATTAACACCTGCATCATAGAATTTAAGGAGGAGTCCCTCCCTCCACAGACTGTCATAAGCCCTTTCGATATCTAAAAAGACTGCTAAAACTGCTTCTTTATTGATTATAGCTTTTCTCACATCTCTGTCCAGTACTGCTGCCGAATCCATGGTGCTTCTCCCTTTTCGAAAACCATTTTGATGATTCACAAAGAACCCACTGGATTCGAGAAAAAACTCCAACCTGTTTGCAACCATCCTCTCCATCACCGTAATTACAGAGCACAGATGTTAAAGCTATAGGCCTATAAGACGTTGGAGAAGACGGGTCTTTTCCTGGCTTCAAGATTGGAGCCACAATTGCATGCTTCCACGTTTTTGGCAGGTTGCCAGACTCCCACACATAATTAAACAAGGCCAGAATTTCATATAAAACATCCTTACCCAAGTTCTGCAACAACTTATAACTTATTCCATCCTGTCCTGGTGTCGTGTTCCAGCCTGTATTGCCTCTTCCAACTCTTTTAAAAAGAAAGAAAAGAAAACAAGTTATATGAGCCGTTAGTAGCCACCCCTCCAGTCAACTTTGAACTATTCTTACTTAGAGTTTTATGTCTTCACCTTAAAATTTCCTCCCCCAGGTGCTTGGAATTATGAACATCCTTAAAAATATTTACACACATGTCAGCTTTTTCTTTACTATTGACAACCTCCTTTTGACCATCGTACAACACAGGAATTGTAGTGCTGACCCTTTTTCCAGCCATTCGATGAATCCTTCCCCAGAGCTGAACTGACGGAGTATCTGGTCCTAATGTGCCACAGAAGTTCCTCCAACTCTTCCTTCTTTCAGCCTTAATAACCTTCCTTGCTACTGCTCTGCACTTTTTATATTCAATAACATTATCGAGAGTAGGAAACTTCCGTGCATATCTGAATGCAGAGCTTCTTTTCTTTACAGCTGCATCACACTCCTTATTCCACCAGGGGACAATAATACGTTCCCGTGGAGTTTTCCTGAGAGGGATAGAGTCAGAAGCAGTCCTCATAATAAGTGCCATTAGAGTCTCACAGTACTCATCTATTGAACCATCACTATTAATATCTTCTAACCCAACCGATGCACTCTCTCTGTACTTACCCCAGTCAGCTAAGGAAAAATTAAACCTAGCGCTTCTTTCCCCATTGTTTTCAACCAGTGATCTCCCAAAATGACTGAGCACTGGGAAGTGGTCACTACCCAGTGAGTCTGGTTCTACCCTCAACTCACCTACCCGTGCCAAACATGGGGATGCCAGTGTTAAGTCAAGGTGAGACTCTTTCCAAGATAATGGGTCTACCCGAGTTGATGTACTTGTATTTAAAACTACCAGATTTGCAATATCTAAAAATTCTTCGATCACACTGCCATTAAAGTCCTTCTTTTAACCCCCCACACAGTGGATTGTGAGCATTAAAATCACCTACCCAAATCATTGGCGTTCCTACTGTACTAAAAATATCTTCAAATTCCGTTAGAACAAGTGACTTACATGGATTATAACAGTTAACTAAATTGAACTTACCCTCATGACACCAAACCTGAGTAATCACACATTCAAGTGAACCGTCCCACTTTATGGTCTTATACTGAATACCTGCTCTTATGAAAGTTGCACATCCTCCACCACTTCTATCTGGTCTGTCTTTCCGATGACATTCAAAGCCTGGAATAATAAAATCAAGGTTAGGCTTAAGCCAGGTTTCTTGAACACAGATGAGGTCTGGTCTTGGATCAGATTCCCTAATTACTCTTTTCAACTCCTGCCCATTTGCAATTAAACTTCTTGCATTCCATTGCAAAATGTAAACCATGACAAGACTTTAAGTATATTCAAAGCCCTCCATTTGGGTCTCATTATCATCAGAATCGTCAGCATCTACCTGACTACCTGTAGGGTCAGACTGACACCCTTGAACTGTCCTCATATACTGGAACAGGCTCTGTCGAGAGGACTTTCTGGGCCCCAAAAATCTATTGGCGGCTTCTGCTACAAATTGAATAATATCCGATCTGGACTTCTTTTCACGAGCCCCATAGATAACATCCACAATAAAAGCCAATGATTCCCTCTGAATCACCAGAGTATTTTGATCTCCAGCTACGGCAGGAGGCAGCCGAGGCTGCACAGGGGAGCTCCCGGCTGTGACACCCACAGCAACAGGGAAAGTGACTCCCTCCACTCTTTTCAGGGCTTCAGCATATGTAATTTTGTGCTGCTCTTTTACTGACTGTACGTTCTTGGCTTTCACAAAAAATCTGCACTCCCTAGAAGATGCCATATGAGCTTCACCACAATTACAGCACTTTAAGGCTGAAGCACCGCACTCGGAAATATCATGATCTCCCCCACATTTGGCACATCTTCTAGAGCCTCTGCATGCTCCAGCCATGTGACCAAATCTCTGACACTTGAAGCACCTTAATGGGGGCCTTACGTATACCCTCACCTGGTATGACAAACACCCAATGAACACTCGTGACGGGAGATTATTCCCTTTAAATTTTGTTTGTGTTTGCGCACCTGGGCCTAATTAAATGACTCCAGAGACACACCTGGTTACCTGATTTATTTATTTTTTCTTGCTGCCATCTACTGGCCAGACTAAAAATAACCTAATCAACAAATAATAAAGGGGAGGGGAGCAGAGGAGAGAGGGCTCAGGAGTGGAGGTGAAGACTTGCTTTTTGACTTGACACCCACATAGACATGATTCAAAACAATGCTGTTTGCTCTTCTCAGGCTCAGATGGAACACAGAGAGGAGCAGCTCCAGCAGATGATTCAGGAGAGACTGCAGAGAGTGGACAACATTTCACACAACATCAGCCTGAGCAGAGTGAGAATCTGCATCAGACCAGGACCAGACCAGGACCAGACCTGGACCAAACCTGGACCAAACCTGGACCAAACCTGGACCAGGCCTGGAGCACAGAGACTAGCTTCAGGCCTGGTTCAGACTGGGTTTATTCCTGGACCACAGAGACCTTGTTTAGACCTAGACAACAGAGATCTAGAACACAGAGACCAAAGATAAAAAGAGACCTGGGTCACTCTCACTCTTTGCTGTTTCAGGAGCAGACCAGGCTGGACTTGCAGCAGAGCAAACAGATCTTCTCCTCTCTGATGGTCCACCTGAAGAAGGTCCAGGAGGAGGTGGTGGAGCAGATCCAGAGGACTCAGGAGCAGGCCGAGCACAGGGCCCAGAGCCTGGTCTCCCAGTTGCAGCAGGAGGTCAAAGAGCTGCGGAGGAGCAGGCACGAGCTGGAGCAGCTCAGGCAGTCACAGGACCATCTCCATCTGGTCCAGGTGAGAAGAACTGTTCAACTATGAGAAATATTACAAACACCTTTAGGACACCTCAGCCTGTGTCTGAGTTTCACTGATAAACTGACACTGTGTGTATGTGCGTCATGTGAAATGATCCAAGTCCTCCTGCACTAGAGCCATGCAGTTTAAACCAGGCCAAAACAGTAGCTGCTATAATAAAAGTTTATACAATTTGATGTGGTGAACTGAAGAACAATTCTGGTGAAGGTGTGAGGACTTTAACAGCACAGAGGAGACAGGTTGAATTCAGCATTCTTCAGTTACTCTGTGCATTTCTATGTGAAGCCAGTAGAGGGAGACAAATCCTTCACCATGCATTCTGTGTTAACACACTTCTATAAAACATTTCTTAAATCTTCCCAACATGAATCCCAACATTTATTTTTCTTTGAATGAGCGACTGCATTGACAAAGTCACTTTGAGTGTTTAGTAGGTCTACGTTTAGATTCTGTTTCATTTTGTTTTCATTTAAAGCTAAATTATTATTTTTATTTTACTTTGTTCTTATTATAGTAAATGTTTCTTTACATTTTATGGACGAGAGGATCATGCTGATCTTTTATCAGGCTGTGTTGGAAAATAATTTCAGGTACAGTGTTATGTCCTGGTGGTGATCTGTGTGTGTCTTAAGATGATTCCTACTCTGTTTTCTTTAATATGGACTGTGTTTTAGTTGAGCTTTGATGGCAGCACATGTGGACAGCCCAAGACATATTTCTCACTAGTGGGACAGTAAAGATTATCTTGACTTTGATCATAGTGGTCAGCTCTTATTATAGCCACAGTGGCCCTGGGGCTGATTGATAGAAGTGGCTGCAAACCTGTGTCATCTGCCTCTCTGAATACCACACTAACTATCGTTCTTGCCTCGTCTGGAAGCGACAGTTGTGCGGGAGTGTGTGCTGATGTACTGATGTGCTGTGTTGTGCAGAGCTTCTCCTCCCTGACCCTCCCAACCCCCACACTCTCACGCTCTGTGCCCGTCCACGCTGACCCCTGCCTGGGCACACTGAGGAGTGCTGTGGCCCGTCTGGAGCTGGAGGTGCAGAAGACCCTCAAACTGCTGTGTGACCAGGGTAACACACACATACACACACACATATACATAAACACAAACAAACACACACATACATAAACACAAACAAACAAACACACACATACACAAACACACACAAACATACACGCACACACACATAAACATACACAAACACACACACACAAACATACACGCGCACACACCTACACAAACACACACGCGCACAAACACATACACAAATATACATAAACACAAACAAACACACACACACACATAAACACAAACACACGCACACAGACATACACAAACACACACACACAAACACACACGCGCACACACACAAACATACACGCACACACACAAACAAACACATACACACACATAAACATACACAAACACACGCACGCACACACAAATACACACACAAACACACACCTACAAAAACACACACGCGCACAAACACATACACAAATATACATAAACACAAACAAACACACACACACACACACATAAACACAAACACACGCACACAGACATACACAAACACACAACACACACACACACACACAAACATACACGCACACACACAAACAAACACATACACAAACACACACCTACAAAAACACACACGCGCACAAACACATACACACACATAAACATACACAAACACAAGCACGCACAGAGACACACACACAAACCCCCCCACACACACACACCAACACACAAACACACACACAAACACATACACACAAACACACGCACACACCCCCACGCACAAACACACACTCACCAACACACACACGCACACACGCACACACACACTAGACTTATTTGAGCACGTGTTTTGCCCCAGTACACACATTGTATAAGCAGCTCTTACCTTCTTAATTTTATGGTTTAAAGTCCTTTCAGATGACAACAGTCACATCTTTGGGGCTGAATAATGGCATCACTTTCTGAGGACATTATGAAAAATCATTTCACATTTGTTTATGTATTACAAAGATATTAAAGTTCCTATATCACACTCAATCAACTCTTGTGAGCTTTAAGCCATGTTATAATGTTACCTCCTCAAAAACAGACCTGGAGCTGTGTTAAGTTTCATTCACACATTATTATTAGTCTGTCTACATCTCCAAAGCTCAAAACTCTCTGTTCATGGAGTGATAGTTTTCAAGTGAACAGCTCCTTTTACCTTTAACTCAGTAGAAATTGGCAATTCCGAGTCTGAAATTATCTAAATGATTCTAGTGAAGGTGTGTAGAATTTAAAAATACAGTGGAGCACTTCCTGTATTACCACAAAACATAAAAAACATCATATAATTGTGGTCATTAGTTACACAGCGAATTCCAACAGAGAAATCTGACCAGCCTCCAGCTCAGTTTAAACTATAGTCGAGTTTCAGCTGACGTCATTGTTATTAAAAGCCCGCGTTGCTGCTGGGAAATATTTTGGTCGGAGGCAAGAAACAGGATAGCGGTCCAACACAGTGTGTAACCTCACGTATTTCTCCCCGATAATGGTAAATTCCTGCTGCATTATCAGATGCACAAATAGAAGCACGGAAGAAGGAAAATGTTTTTCGTATTCCGAGTGAAAAGAACCGCTAACGGTGAATTAAACGACTTTCAAACATTTGCAGAGCAAACGTAGAAGATCCTAACAAACCGTGGACTCCAACAAGTTCAACAACACATCGAGACTCTTGGAGGTTTTCATCTTTTCTGCTGTGAATGGCCCAGGAGTTTCCACCAAGTCATTGTGGATATCACCAAAGTGAATATTTGGCCAGGGAGTTGGAGATTCTGACCAGAAATTTGGTTTGGTCCAGACTCTGTCGGGGTTGAAAAGGGTGATTTGGCTCCGTCGATGCTTATGACCAATTTCTGGTCAAATGGTCTTGGGTCCTCTGCCGTTAGAGTGGATAAATAACCGGGATCAATACCCTTTACGTGCTTTCTCGCTCCGTCCGTCATGTCGAATTAGTGTTTCTTGCCGCCAACCAAAATAATTCCCAGCATGCAACGTGCGCTTTTGTCAACAATGAAACTCCCCTATAAACATTCTAGGATGTTGTGAAGTCACGTGAACAGAACTTATATCTACTTCTGACACACACTTGACCTCTTGTGTTCTTGTTGTTTTGTCAGAGTTGGAGCGGATGCAGAAGTACACAGGTAATTGTGCTCACTGTGTTTGAATCACATCTGAGGAATCAAACAGCAACACAACATCATATTTAGACCCACAGAGAGTTCATCCATCCACACAGGGTAATGATACTTTGCAGCAGATGTCATGTTGTTTCCTGGAGGTGTGATGGTAACTGAAAGCACTACTCTTAAATGAAATAGAAGTAGGGTGTCTCAGTCTGTGTATCATCTGTTTTTCAAAATAAAGACTAGAAAAGCACTCAGAGAGCGCAGACCTCCGCCAAGGACTACCCCCATTTTTTATATAAATTGCAATAAAATCAGTCTTCTGGATCAGATCCGGATCAGCCTTTGGAATATGAAAGAGGATCCCATTGTCCATCCCTGAGTCAAATTTCATGGGGTTTGGACAATAATTAACCGAGATATTGAGAAACAAAATTTTTGGCCCCATTTACCACAATGTTAACTAAAAATTCAAAGTGATCCAGAATCCAGGATTTCTTCCGGATCACCCCCAAAATGAAATCAGTTCTTCCTTTTCACACTTCCAACAAATCCTGAAAATTTCATCAAAATTGGTCCATAACTTTTTGAGTTATGTTGCTAAGAGACAAACAAACAAACAGACAAACGCCAGCAAAAACATAACCTCCTTGGCGGAGGTAAAAATAAAAAACAACTATTTTCTTCTTTATTTGTCCCCAAAACCAAAACAAAAGAATGGATAATGGCCGTTTCCCATTTACGTGACTTAAACTGCCATGCCGGATTTTTGCACTGCATACAAACTGACCAGGACTAAACCAGGACTAAAACAGGTCTAAACCAGGACTAAACAAGGACTAAAACAGGACTAAACCAGGACTAAAACAAGACTGAGTGTCGGGACGGGCACGGAGGTGCACCAGCATACACTGTTACATACTGTATAAATGGTTTAGTCCTAGTTTAGACCTGGTTTAGTCCTTTCACTCCTGGTTTAGACCTAGTTTAGTCCTGGTTTAGTCCCAGTTTAGTCCCGGTTCAGTCCTGGTTTAGTTCTGGTTCAGTCCTGGTTCAGTCCTGGTTCAGTCCTGATTCAGTCCTGGTTTAGACCTGTTTTAGACCTGGTTCAGGGCATTGCACAACTTTTTTTTCACTTTGGTTTTAGAGACAAATAATGAAGAAAATAGTTGTTTTTTCCTTTTCTACTTTTTGGTTTTATTTTGAAAAACGACTGAACAAATGATACACGGATTTGTGTCAGTGAAGAGCAGCCAGAGAAATCAAGATACATTTTTATTATCTGTCACAAACTAACATTATTATACTCTACAGGATTCGTTCATTATAAACCGAGTCTTTGTTCATTCTTTATTAAGGCTCATTAAAGTGACGTTCTCATGAGTTGCTGCTTGTGTTCCAGTGGACGTGACCTTTGACCCGCACACAGCTAACCCGTGGTTGGTGCTGTCTGAGGACCGCAGACGTGTGTGGGACGGGAACCAGGAGCAGGTCTTGGAGCAGAGAGCAGAGCGCTTCGACACTGCCCCCTGTGTGCTGGGGGACAAGGTGCGTACACTCATCTGCACTCAGGGGCCGTGGCAGGGGCCCAACAATAATCCATGTATCATTCATAGATTTGTTTTTCAAAATAAAAACAAAAATAAGAAAATGAAATATAATATATATATATATATATATATATATATATATATATATATATATATTTTTTTTTTTTTTTTTTTCATTATTTGTTTCCAAAACCAAAATGATATATATATTTTTTTCCCAGTTTTCGATTTTGTGTTTAAATGAATAATGGAAAAAATGGATAATGGCCATTTCCTGTTTCCGTGACTTAAAGGTTGTATGGAGGATTTTTTTTATTTTTATTTTTTTGTTTCAAATTGTCAATGATAGCATTATAGAGGTGCAGTAGCCTTGTAATTATGATGACCAAAAAAAAGAGAATAAAAATTCATCAACTCTGGACGTGGTGGGGCTAAACATTTGCCAATAGATAACGACACTGCCTCGTTATCTGTTAGCTGACAGGCTGTCAATCAATCTCCCTACGTTTCTAGCGTAACTGACTTGCCTGTGTGCTGCCATTACGTGGTTTACGTACGCCTGTCACGCAGTCCACAGACGCTGTTTACTCCACCAACGCAACAGTTCTTAGCGGCTTTTTTGACCTATATCTTCCTCGCAGTTCGCACAAAGTTTATTGCAATGGCGACAAGAATCCAGGAGCAGTTCGCCGCAAAAGAAAGTCAGTTTTTGAGATTGCTGAAAGAAGAAGACAAGGGGAAAAGCAGCGAAGCCAAACTAAGGTGATTCTTGAAGATTCATTCCAGCGATGGCGCGACTGAAGCAGACGCAGAGTCTAAAGACTGACGCATTGGTCGCCAAATTACTCCTGGACAGGAAACTTCTGCTTATTATGAAAACGTACTTTATTTCCAAGAGTTAGACAAACGTTTTTCAGGACACGAATGCGATATCCTATGTCTGAAAACTTAATTTTCAAGGCAAAGAAAGAGTCCGCTTGCTGCTGCATGTTGTAGTAGTAGCTAGTTCATTCGCACGGAATCTCCACGCCCCCCTCTCTGCGCCCCTCTCTGCCCGTTCCGCTCTTCTCCCTGCTCCTCACGGAATCTCCACGCACCGCTCCCCTCTCCTCTCTCCTCGCCTCTCTCCCCGCTCCATTCTTCCCCCTGCTTCTCACTTCTTGTCCGCGCACGAAATGTCTGCGCACCCCCTCCCCCCGCTCCTCACTTCTCCGCCTTGCCTAACCAACACTGTAGTTAGTTGTTTACAAGTCATGTGCATCACCGGCTGTAAACAAACCTGTTTCTGGCGTAAGGAGGAGGAGGTGTTTCTACGTAGGAGCTGTGGGGGAGGGGGGGTGGTTTCACGCATGTGCAACATTTGAAAAAGGACAAACAGTCGCTGGATTTCTCGTTCCTTGGAAAATCCTCTATACAACCTTTAAACTGCAATGCTGGACTGAACCAGAACTAAAACAGGACTATACCAGGACTAAAACAGGACTGAACCAGGACTAAAACAGGACTGAACCAGGACTAAACTGAGTGTGGGGACCCGTCAGGAGTGCGTGCACCCACGTAGACTGTTGAGAGATCAATACTGAGACCAGGACCAGACCAGGACTGAGACCAGTTTAGTCCTGTTTTAGTCCTGGTTTAGACCTGGTTCAGTTTTGGTTTAGACCTGGCTTAGTCCTGGTTAAGTCCTGGTTTAGTCCTGGTTCAGTCCCAGACTCAGTCCTGGTTTAGTCCTGGTTCAGTCCTCATGTGGCGCAAAAGTCTGGCATTGCAGTTTAAGTCAGATTCCTAATCTCTAACAAAGTGCAGAGGATACATTTCAACATTTTAGATGTTAGGTTTGGAAATTTCAAGAACAGTAAAGCCCAGATGGAGTTTTGTAGGCTCCAGCTATAAAGCCACAGTATGTAACTTTCTAGAGGAGTTCGACCACCTGCAGAAAGTCAAAACCATACTGTGGAACATTCTCCATGGAGATAGACATGTTTCAACACTGCCATGGACACAAGCAGTGCATTAAACACTGCCACATTTTATTCGATGAGTTTATGATTGAATGATTGATTTTTTTGTAGCTTTGATTAAGACTTAAAGTTTTAGAATGTTCTGAAAGTCTCCTCAACCATTCTGTGCACACGCAGGGCTTCACCAGCGGGAGGCACTACTGGGAGGTGGAGGTGGGGGGTAAGACGGCGTGGGACGTGGGCGTGGCTCGAGGGTCGGTCAGCAGGAGGGGCGTGGTCACCCTGAGCCCGAGCGACGGCTATTGGACGGTGTGTCTGCGGCGGGGCGGGGAGTACAGGGCGTGTGCGGAGGAGGCGGTGCTGCTCCCCGTGTGCCCCCCGCTCCCCCAGGTCCTCGCCCTGTTTGTGGACCACGAGGAGGGACGCGTCTCCTTCTACGACGTCGAGGCCGGATTGCACCTGTATTCATACACGGGCTTCACTTTCACTGAGGCTCTGTTCCCGTTCTTCAACCCAGAGACGATCAGCAGCGGAGGAGACAACTCTGCTCCTCTGGTCATACGCGCCACCAGGGACACGGCGGAGATCGATAATGTGATGATTTAAAGCAGGACTATTCAGTAAAATGGACTTTTCAGAGCTTTTAACCATGTTTTTAACCATGTTCTAGTTGTCTCACTGACCCTCTGAAGTTGTATTTGGAGTGATTCGTGCATGTTTGAGTCACCTTTAATCGCTTATTTTTCAAGACATGTCCACTGTGACATACTTTCTGTTTTTTAATGCTGAATTCAGTGCATTTGTTTCTTTTATTAAGTTGTTTTAGATGAATATTGTGACTTAAAATTATATAGCAGACACAAGCACAACGGGTCACTAAGTGCTAATAGATGCATCAGGAATTTCGGACTTTCGGTCATTGCTCAATGCATACTGAGAAGGATTTTCCAAAAAAGTGAGCATTAAAATGCCATGTTTGTTTTCCCAGTGGGATGTGTCTATTGACAAAGTCAGTCTTTTCTAGTCTTTTGAACCATATCACTTTTGTTTCTGGTTCTGGTCATATTTTAGTTTTGGGATTCGGACATCGGAACTGTGTAGTTGTTGGATGTCCTCACAGTGGAAAACGGATCGAGAAATTTGTTTGTGAACTTCATAACTGCAAAAGGGAATCAAGTCTGTGTGACTGCAAACCTCTGTTCAAACTGTTTCTCTTCCCAACGGAATTGAAAAATAGTGAAAGGTGAAGGTGATGGGCAGGATTGATCCACAGGAAGGATCAAAAAGGAAATCTTTGGCTGCCTAAATCATCCCGAGTTTGCAGTGAACATTTTGTATGTGGAGCGGCAACAAAGTAAAACCCTGATTTCTCGCTCCACTTTGGTTACGAATTTAAAAAGCGAAAGGCACCAACTGTTCGCCAAGAAACACCTTCCACTGTAAAGAGACCAAGACGTGATGTTGCTGTAAAACCACAAGAACAAGAAAGTGCAGCTCAGTCTGTTTGTCTTCTGTACCTCTCGCTGATCAAACAGGATCCCACTTTGATGGTGCTTGTGATACTGATTCACCCTACCTCGGTACAGGGGCAGGGTGAATCAAAACAATGTTCCCATTTAAATGCTTTTCAGTAAGGACCCGAACTAGTTATATGAAACTTAGTAGCAATTTTGTATGGACAACACACAGCATTACTTACTTAAAATAAAAAAGAAACTGTGCTATCATTAGCCTGTTACAGGCTGAAAAATAACTTCTAACCCCGGTGTGCCCTACTTTTGATTTGATAGTTTTAAGATTATTGTCATTCTAATTGTGTGTATGTACACAGAACACTGTTGTCAAAGACACTCTCATCTGCTCTTTCTGTTTAAATAAAGCTTAAGAAATTAGAATGTTAAATATGTTTTAATGAAATTAGTACACAGCCCCACCCCCTCCCCTCCTCCCCTCTCCTCCTGTCTGTCCCTCCTCCCTCTCTCCTCCCACCTCTCTCTATCCTTCCCCTCTCCTCTTGTCTTTCTCTCTCCTCCCCCTCTTACTCCCTCTCTTTCCTCCCCTCTCCCTTCCTCCCTCTCTCCCCCGCCTCTCCCCCATCCTCTCATCTCTCTCTCCTCCCTCTCTCCCTCCTCCCCCTCTCCTTTCCCCCCCCCCCCCCCCCCCTTCTGCCTCTCTCTCTCCTTACCCCTCTCCCCCCACCTCTCTCCTTCTCTCCTTCTGTCTCTCTCTTTCCCCTCTCCCCTCCCCCTCTATCCCCTCATCTCTCTCTCTCTCCTCCTTCCTCTCCCTCCTCCCCCTCTCGGTCTGTAGTCTCATAGTAAATAGCTGATTCTGGATCAGTTCTGCGGGCCTCTGTCTGCAGATTAGCCTGCTCCTGTTAATCTGAACAATCCCCTTCTGCTGACAGAGACTCTACACACACTCTCTATGACACTCCAGCAGCGTGTGCAGCGATACACACATCCACCTGTACTCATCAGACGCTTTGAACTGTACTTTTAGTGAATTATTACTCTTTGACACATTGCGAGCTGCAAGTTTGAAGTTTAACGGATGGAACCTCAGTAAGAAGAACCGAAACTGAAGACTAGAACTGACAAAGGTGTGTCCTACATTTACTTTGTCATTATTATCACACAATAGTTCACTTCTATTTGAGTAATGATATTTTAAAGTTGTTGAGTAAGATGTCTGCACTCCTTGTAAAATATTGTCTCTTTGTGTTTTTATTTTTTATTGTTTGAAAATACCAGAATGTATGTGATTCTAACACACAAATGTCCTATAGATCAGGGGTGGGCAATTATTTTTAATTTGTTAATTTGTTAATGCTTAACTGAATTCTGCATAATATTAATTGTAATTCTTTATTAAAAAAAAAAAAAAAAGCTTTGACACACTGGTCAGACTGGTTATGACTAAGCAATGAAAAAGTGAGGTTTCCTTACAAAAAATGTCATTAAAAACACCTCTAAAATAAAAGCAATGCAGCTTTAGGCGAGGCATGAGGTAAAATGATAAAATATGTTTATTTTGCAACTCCAAATGAGCTTAAACAGGCCCGTCACAGTCAATCAAAGAGCTGTATGTGGCTCGGGAGCTGGACAATGCCCAGGTCTGGTGTAGGTCCATATTTTAAAAAATGGGAGTACTGAGGCATGATGGGAAATGTTCAGAGAGAAAGAGTATGAGATGTATCCATATTGACAAACCTTCTCAAAATCTCAACCTGTTAGTGTCGTTTCAAACAATAATACAAACACATTCATTCATTCATATTTAAAAAATGGTAGAAATGGTAGATTTTTATAATTTTTTTTTACCATGTAGTCAGACTGGCGCCACCTAGTGCCTCCGCTCAATTCCATTTCTCTCCCGCGACTAGGTCAGGAATCAGAATACATTACGGTTTGCAAGAACCCTGGAAGTTGTAGACCGTGCACCTGCCAATCAGTGAAGAGCTGTGAAGCCATGACTGGGTCCCTTTTGTGGTGCAGCACAACAGTAAACAAAGCGATCGAAATGGACGTAGACAAAGACCGATATTCTGTGTTGGCAATGATTCCCGAGATCGAGGATTTAAAGCCGGAACAAAGAGAATGTTTGGTGATTTTATCAAGGGGAAAGATGTTATTGCCCTTCTTCCTGCAGGATTTGGGAAAAGCTTAATATACCAGTTATACATAGCAGTTATACCAGTCATTACATATGTCACGACCAAATAGCAGCAATTGATTAAATAAAAAAAGGATCTGCCTAACATCGAGCAAACAAATCCTAATGCTGCGAGGTCAGACAGTTTCCATGAAGTGAAACCAGCTGATGAATCAGGCTAATGACGTTGTTCCCTTATCACAACATGCCTGAAGAAGTTTTAGCTGTCATCCATGCATGTTTGAGTAATTTAGCAATCTCTCCTGTAAAATTATGTCCAATGCTTCACCCACAAGCCTACATCACCCATGCTCCCACATGACAATTCTCTATAAATACACAAAAAACATGGCACTAAACTATACACAGCGATTTCACAAACCTGATACAATGTGCAGTAGTTTTATTAGAGGGATGCATGCTTTTTGTGTTGTGACAGTGCTCTGAAGGGGGAGTGACTTAGCTCAGACAGCACAGGGAGGGGACAAAAATGAAATTTATTAAACATGTTAATACGTTGTTTTCGGTGAATAAAGCACAACAATAAAAGGGAACATGGTGATCAAAATATATTGTGTCTTTACGAATGTTTGTTTATTTGCTTACTTGCTTGCTTTTAACAATAAACACATCTAATCGAAGGAGGGAAAGTTAAATGCATACTGTGGAACATTCCAGGGAATACAGTTGCATCATTATGAAGACAAGTGTGTGGCAGAGACGTGACTTTTGTTTCTGTTTGGAAGTAGATACACCGGTCTGTGGTCCTTGTCGTTCTGTGATTGGCTGAGGGGGAGCCCGCGCTGTCCTCTCCGCTTTGTGATTGGCCGAGGGGAGCCCACGCTGTCCTTGCTGCTTTGTGATTGGCTGAGACGGGCACAGTATGTCTCCGGTGGTGGACGAGACAGCGGGGGACGTCCCTGTGCGAGATGTAGGTCTGAGGGGAGGACTGATGCCAGCTGTGCCAGGTCAGTTCACCCGCTCTACATAAAGCGATAATGTCTTTAAAAAGTCTTAGTGTATAATGGAGCTCAACAGTGAGCGCCCTGGTTCTGAGATTAAATTTCTCATTCATTTTCATTCAGTAAAATAAAGTTTGAAAGCTCAACATAGTCCCTCAACATGTGATGATTCATGTGATGCAAGGTTAGTTTCATTTCAAACATTATTCTATCAACAGACATTTACATCAACAGTCTGGTGTAATAATAGATTTGCTTCAAGGTGCTGATGGAATACAGTGGTCCCTCGTTTATCGTGGGGGTTATGTTCTAAAAATAACCCGTGATAGGTGGAATCTGCGAAGTAGTCAACTCTATATTTTACAATTTTTATATCTGTTTTAAGGTTGTAAAACCCCTCACCACACACTTTATACACTTTTCTGTGACAGGACAGTTACAATCCTTTTTGCATCCTTCTTAAAACTTATTGCTGCTGTCATACTTTTGTTATTTTCCTCCTTCTTTATGTAACGAACCAAAGATTAATTTATTCTGTAATGGAGCCCTACAGCACAGAGTCCTGCGCTCCATTTTTGGAGATCCGCACCCGCGCAGTACAACAACACACTTGCACAGTACACCCCCGCACCCGCCTGTTAACCCGAGATTATATCAAAATTTTGCACTACATACACCACGGACTGAACCAAGACTAAACCAAGACTAATCTCAGCAATTGCCCAATCGTGCTTTATGGACAAACTGCTCGGGGTTCTCTCTCTTAAGTCCAAGATTAGTCCTGGTTAAGACCTGGTTTAGTCCTGACTCACTCGTGTGTAATTACTACCCACCTGTAATACGCAATACATGTGCATAAGCTGTAAAAACATTGAGACCACGCAAGGTGAACCATGATATAATGAGGGTCGACTGTATTTAAAAAGTGTCTCCACTCGTCTCCACTCTGGCTAACTAGGAAATGAGGTCCTATGTCCAAAATTCCAGTCCAAAATTCCAGTGTCCCTTTAACACATTTTGCAGAATCTTGTGTTTTAAATATTCTTTTGGACTTAAAACAACTGCGCTGTGGGTATGAGTTAGCTTTTCTGATGCCTTAGAACTCTTAATATTTGAATTTGAAGTCTTTAGTTAAAATGAATGGAAAATTTACTTTCGGAACCAGAGAAAAGAGATAAAATAACTAGAAAAATCATTGCAGCACTAATGTAAAAATCATAAAATAATAAAAACATCTAAAATCATCTCATTTTCGTGTCTATAGATTCTGTCCGAGATCCTAAAGCCACGAGGAGGCATCATCACTCCAGGACAAAGAGTAAGTCCACAACCAGCTCAGGTTTTACATATTACTAGGCCTATAATATTGTAATGTTTACAATATACAACATTTATTTCAGGGACAAAGCAGATTAAAGACTGCACCTGATTTTCTGCCATGTATTTGAGCAAAATGTGTCTTGTTTGAGCAGCTCTTAAGGCCAAAATAAGTCCGTGGTACTGTCTGCATTTCTGGTAATCCTGAAGTGTAGCTTTACTGTGACAGTAAAGTTCACTCTGGTCTCTGAAAGTTGAGGACTTGTTAAATTTATTGGTCGTTAAAATCAAGTACAGCGCCTTTAAAGGCATTCAGAGTATTCCCGTTATTCATAGTGATGAGATTATAAGCACTTTACACAACTTAGTAATACTAACAACAACTAGCATGCAACATACTTTCAGATTCTTGCCTTGGAGATACAAAGAGAGCTACTTAGGCTATGTTCAGACTGTAGGGCTTAATTCTTTTTTTTTTTTTTTTTTTTTTTTTTTCTTTTGAAAATCAGATTTTTTTTGGAGGCCGTTCACATTTCCAGTTGAATGCAACTGCCCCAAAAGTGACCATGTACAGCTTATTTGTTTTAAGGAGGAGATTGAGAAGGAGAAGGATTAGGTTTTCAGCCATGGCGTTTTGTGGGGCAGTGGCAGCAATGTCCGTAGAAAGGAACGTGTGGATGCAAAGTCGCAGCCAAGAGTGATTGTGGTCTGCTTCACTGACACAGAATTGAGACACAATTTTCGAATGACAAGAAGAACGTTTGTGTACATTTGTGATGTGTAGGTGGGATGAGTGTGACCTGGCTGTTCAGACTGAAGTTGCATGTCAAAAGATCAGATATGTATTGGTTTTAGGAGCACATATCCAAGGCTACGTTCAGACTGCAGCCTGAAGTGACCCAAATCCAATTTTTTCAAATGGGACCCAGGGCACTTGGATATGTGCTCCTAAAACCGATACATATCCGAGCTTTTGATATGAGACTTTAGTCTGAAAGGTCAGGTCACATTCATCCCACCTACACGTCAGGCTCAGAGTCTAGTCAATGGAGGGAAAGTGAGGTTAGTGAGTTATTCATGTTTGGGGGGATTGCTGTATTCAGGCTAAATTGGAGGCATCTTATCAGAACCGGGCGATTTCTGAAATGTCTGAGTGCAGCTACAGTATCAACTAAAAATCAAGAGCTTGTGAGCCAAATACAAGGAGGCTAAAGACTCAGACAAATTAAGTGGCTGTGGATGTGTAACCTGTCCATCTTATGAAGAACTGGACTGTATTTTGGGAGACAAGTTCAGCACTTAGGCAACTTCCGTAAACACTGAGCACACTCGCTGTGTGTGATGTCGTTGTGTCCTCCAATGCACATGTGGGACACTTTTGTGGTGTTTAAAGTTCACACTGGAGATCACGTACAAGTCACATTTAATTGGAAGTGTGAACAACCTCAGTCTGAATGTAGACCAAGTGGCCTGGTTTGCATTTGAAAAATTCAGATCTGTGTCGTTCACTGTATGTTAATTGAAAGACAGTGAACGACACATTATGACGTCATTAAAAGATCAGATACAGGTCGCATAGGGGTAAAAAAAAATCTGATTTGGGCCACCTGTGGCTGCAGTCTGAACATAGCCTTATTGAATCTATCTCTACTGAGGCAAAACAAATTCTGCTCAAATACATCGGACAATCTGGGTACACACCATTTGAGCAATAATTCAGTGTAAATCTGCCAGAGTTCCAGAGTTAGCCAGCGAGTTCTTTTTCACTGTCGTGTTTGTGTACAGTGGACCCTCAGCGGGTATTCCGGGCTCCTCGGGACCAGCTGGAGGAGCTGTGTCTGCGGCTGCAGGAGGAGAACAGTGTGCTCAAACAGCACAGCCGCTCTCAGGAGCAGAGGATCAAACGGTATGAGCTTTACATTTACATGCACACCAGGAAAAGCCAATCTCTGGTATAGTCCTGTTTCAACATTTCTTTTGAAGTCCAGAATTTCATTAAAATGTCTGTATTTTGACTGAGGCATTCAACAGCACAAGATACGGGGCAATCAGGGACATATTAGGCATGCATTTGGACGTGTACTGACTTGTTTTAGAGGATACTAGGACATCTTCTCCACAGACTGGCATGTGTTTTGGTCCATTATGGTAAATTACGTTGACTCTTGTGAGCTTTAAGACATGTTATAATGTTACCTGATAAAAAAAACAGGTCTGGAATTGTGTATTGTTTCAGTCACATGTTTGAGAAACCTTTTATTATGAGTCTGTCTAAATCTCCTAAGCTCAAAGTACTCTTTTCCACTTTGTGATGTCATGTGCTGGTATTTTTGAATAGAACAGCTCCTTTTACCTTTAGTTCTGAAGGTTGACAAATAGGAAGTGAGTGTGGGCGCGCATCCGGCAAGAGGCGCCTCCTTTCTCCATGGTTGCAAAAACAGATTTGATTGATTACCTTCAACAGTCTTGTTCCTGATTGGGTCTTTGGTTACTATGATACTCACAGATGGAATATGGAACTTGCCTACAAATTCACTCCTATACCCGAAAGCCTCAATGAACTTCATTTGACTGGAGCGCTTAGTCCACTTCTTTACACAGTCTACTAGTATGTATGTATGTTATGACCCTATCCCCACACTGACACGTGATGGTAGAGGTCCAAAGTTTATTTATCTTCTACATTTTACCAACAAGTTTCTAAAGTGGTTCACAGAGATCATAAAAAGACAATAAAATTGCTGCAATTGTACTAGTCCAAAAACAATAAAAACCTGTCAAATCAAATAAAAGCAAAATCATAATATCATAAAGCCTCTCTCTTGTCTCAGGATGTCCACCAGGCTGTCCCGCGCTCGGCAGACCCGTCCCAGCTCCAGTGGGGCCCGGGAGAGGGACCTGGAGGAGACCATCCAGGAGCTGGAGGCCCGTGTGGCTCTGCTGGAGGGACAGAAGCAGCTGCTCCACAACCGCCTGAGTCTGGCCAAGCAGCACCTCCTGGAACTGGGAGGACCTACACTGCGCTACGGCAAAGGTCAGATCCTCTATACTCCATATTATTCACGATGTTTACATACACGCCAGGGTACTGGATCACTGCCCTACTCTGAGTTCAGACTGCGGTGTGAAAATCATGTTAAACGTCTATAGTTGAAAGCATTGACATTTGAGGACAGATGCTTGAAACTCATGGACATGTGGTGAATTTCACCAAAATTTAAAAAATTTCAACTCTGGCAAACACACCTAGTATTTTCCTGGCTGTTTCTTACCTCGTGCAGTTGAATGCCTCTCCTGGTCTGTGCCTAATGTAAATCAGACCGTGCTGTTACATGCAGTGAGTATCTGAGTACATACAGACTTCTCACTTGTGTTTTTGGGACCTGGGAAAATCCACAACCATGACACTTCAATAGTTCCCGAGTTTACATGCATTTTGAAAAATAATTTGAACTGAACTAGACCAGCTCTTTTTACTGGCATGCATGTAAATTTACATTAGTTACATTACATTGTGCTGTCCATATATTAGCAAAAAATAACACAACCAGTTATCCATTTTGTTCTGGGATGTGCCTGACTTTGCACTTTCTTTTGTCACAGTGAGGAGTTTTGATGGAGAAGGAGGAGCCCGCAGAGCCACCCACACAGCCCCCGCTCGCTATGGCCCTGCTCTGGACCACTCTGACAGACTGTAGGTCCTCCGTGTGACCACAGGGGGCATCAGCTGGAACTAACTTTATTTTATCCATTCTGTTCTAGTGGCAGCAGTGGGGCAGAGCAGCTGCGGATAGCCCAGTTGGAGCTGACGGCGCAGACACTTCGGGACACTCTAAGAGACAGGGACAGAGACAGAGAGCTGCAGGACATGAGGAGGACACAGGCCCTGACACACAGGTGGACATATGACCTGTCCTGGATTTGACACAATTTTGCACATGTGCATACTTACAGCTGAATGCAAGAACTTGAACACGTATCAAATAACCCGTGTTATGTCTTCACCTGTGGTGTGTTTAGAGAGACGATCCGAGAGAACGTGGAGCTGGTGCGAATGCAGAAGCAGCTGACAGACAAGAGCACAGCTCTGAGACTCACAGAGGAGAGGCTGGCCCTTCTGCAGGAGGTACTCTATGTGTAGACCTGGTTTAGACCTGCAGTATGTGCTGTATATGTACCCTACCGGTCAAAAGTTTTAGAACACCACACTTTTTCAATTTTTTTGCTGTTTGTTGTGTCATTGCGCTCTACAATATAAGCATATGATAAATAAAAAATATGAGTTGAAAAATAAATCACGGAATCAATATATAGACCAAAATGTATTCTAAACTGATTCATCAAAGTGTCCACCTTTGGCAGATACAATAGCTGAATACACTTGTGGCATTCTTTCTACAATAGAAATGTTCTTCAGAAAGGCCTTCCCAAGTCTGTTGCAGAAGTTCCCATAAATGTGAGACACTTGTTGGTCACTTCACTCTTTTATCCAGTTCATCCCAAACCAGCTTGATGGGGTTTAAGTCTGGACACTGTGCTGGACACTCCATGTTTTCACGTTCACTATCTTGTTCTTTTTTCTTGAGGTAGTTTTGGCAGAGCTTGGACTTGTGTTTTGTTCTTTTTTCTTTTTTTTTTTTCAGTTCTTACCTTTGTACCATGTCAAGCTCTTCATTTGACTTGCACGACTTGAACTGTAATAAATAACTGGAAAAATTAGGGTGTTCAAAAACTTTTGACCAGTAGTGTATGTGTAGAAGTGTCCTGTTGTAGACCTGCTTTAGACATGCACTAGGTAATGTACAAGTAGACCTGCTTCAGGAGGGATTGCACATGTATAAGAAGACCTGGGTTAGTCTTACTGTAGACTTGGGTTAGACATGTTAGGATCTTGAAGTGCTGGTTCTTTTCTGGTTCAGGTTTAGATTAAAATAAAACAATCCAAACCACACCACCTTATGAAAGTACTGACTGCAGTGTTCCTCTGTCACCAGGCCTTTGAGAAACAGCTGCAGGAGGTAAGAGTTCCTGTCTTATGTCTCCGCAGCATGCACGTGAGTGTTGTGCATGTGAGTGGTGTGCACATGAGTGGTGTGTTTTGATTCAGTGTGCTGTGTGCAGAGCCAGCGCTCTCTGGAGGACAGTCAGGGGTCTCTACTGCTCCAGTTGGAGGAGCTGAGGGGACAACTGAAGGACGAGAGACAGAAGACAGTGGAGTTGGACGGACAACTGTCCTCAGCCTCTGTGTCCCAGCAGACTATCAACAAGGTACTGAAATCCAGTTGGTTTAAACCTGAAAATGGCTCTCTGATCTGAATGGTCACTCCCTAAACCCCAGCACCTGCACCAGTCATGAGTCAATGCTAGTGCAGCCTCTGCAGCTCAGGGAGGGAATTCTGGAGGTTCTGAGCTTTCATGTGAGTCTGTCCATAAACTGAGAATGAAACAAACTTGTATGTGTTTCTATCAGCAGGTTAAGGCTCAGGTGATAGTAGGTTTATTAAACCGTAAGAGCACAGGACACATACAGTTTCTTTAATTCTTTGAGTTAGGATTTGTTTTCTTGCAGTTACAGGAGAGAGTATCTGACCTGGAGGGAGAACGGGACCTCATCAAACAGAACTACGACTCTTTACTGCAGAGGTAGGACATGTCCCCACATCCCCCAAAGACATGTCTACATCCTTCCTCCTCACTGTCTCGTCTCCTCCACTAGAACATTCTCAGGTCCACACAAAGCTCTGGAGCAGTCCCACAGAGAGAAGAGGGAAGAATCAAACCAGCAGCATTCATCTGAGCTCCTCCTGCTGAGAGACGCTCTGCAGAGGGAGAGGGAGAAGGTCTGTGGACTGGAGGAGGACATGGACACGATGAGACAGGAGGTCCAGCAGCTCCAAGAGGACAAACACAGGAGGACGGAGCAGGAGAAGCAGAGTATGTCTTGTATGCCCATGAGGTCTACATCCACTGTCCCTTGTGTCTTCATATGTCCACTCACTGAAAAGTCCCCTCACATGTCCTCTGTCTACAGTGGTCGGGGATACAGGGGAGACTCAGAAGCTTCTGGAACAGCAGATTGTCCACTACAAAGAGCAGGTGTCCACTCTGCAGCACAGACTGGACTCTGTGGCCCAGGTCAGCACTGTCCAGTGTCCATTTGTAAAAATACCACTCAGATGTCTAAGAAATGTTTGTTTCCTTTTTTTTTAGGCATTTGAGATGAATGTGGATGAGCTGAGTGAGACACTCTTCCAGATCAAAGTATGTCTTCACTTACTGTGTCCACAGTCTCTTCCCTGTGTCCCAGTCTCTGTCCTTTGTCCTCAGGCTCTTCCTTGTGTCTTCATTTCTCTCACTGTGTCCTCATGTCTCTGTCCTGTATCCTCCTGTGACCTCATGTGCCCTGCGTCCACATGTATCCTGTGACCTCATGTATCCTGTGTCTTCATATGTTGTGTGTCTTCATGTCAGGAGTTCCGGGCACAGCAGGAGAGCAGGGCACAGCTTGGGTTCCTCCGTTCTGAGGGCCCACTGGAGCAGATTCCTCTGGAGATGTCCCAGGTGCAGGCCTCACACGCAGAGACCGTCCTGGAGCTGCAGAAGACCAGGGAGCTCCTCAGACTGGAGCACAACATCTGCAAAGACCTGCAGGTGAGACCAGGCTGTTGGGCTCATGGTAAAGGCTCCTTCACACCAAGCAGATCACGTCCTGTATGAACTGGTTTGGAAAGTTTTGGTGACAGGCTCCTTCATGTGTTTAGGGTGAACTGATGCTTTTCAACTGATGTCATCAAAAAACCTGGGGGTGTGATGTTAGCTGTAGGCTCCACTCGGTGTCAGCGTGATGTCACTGCAAAGTATAAGTACACCCATCAGACCTCAGGAGTGTGGAGGAGTCTTTGGGCTGGTTTTTGTAGGACTTGTTTGTAAAATCTGAATCTCCAGTGGCCACAAGAGGAACACACTGATCGGCCTCAAGCTCCAATCACAAAATTCTCTTTTCACTCACACAAGACCTGCCATTTTATTTAAAATCTGTTTCTGAAACTTTATAAACTGCTAAATTATTAAAGCATTTCACCCGATCTTTCTTTTTAAAAATTGTTTTTGGATTTAAAACAACTTTTTAACATTTAACGTTTTAAAACAACCTTTAATGGATGTTGCACATCTTTTAAAATTCTCTGGGACATTCTCTGTAAGTGTCTTGAGTACAGAGAGTCCAGGCAACTCTGAGGATGGACAATCATCTTACTCGCCGATTTAACCAACTGATTCAGGAGGTTCTTGTTTTTAGCAGAGATGCTCCCAAACCATGAGACCAATGAAAACGTTAAAACTGATTCCATAAATGTTTTATAGAACAGTGTCATCATGGTTCCATCTACAGAGTAGAAGGACAACTTCCTCAGACAATGAAGGCGCTGGTGCTTCTTTTACACACAGCAGAACAATTATCCTTAAAGCTCAACTTAGAATCAATGAGTGTTCTAAAATACTTAATAGAAGTCTACACATTCAACTGACTGCCCCTTTATATCTGTGATGTCATTCTGAAGAGCTCTCTTTAATAATCATATCCTTCATTTTGGATACGAAGGATATGATATGGATCATTTATGGAGTTAGTATGTAGCTGGTTAATGTAGGTAATGTCTTTGAACTCTTAATGTTAGAATTTTTCAAAACATCTATGGGAAAATTTATACAAAATTTACTTCTGGTACAAAAGCAGGCAGCCGTCATTACTCCCTGCACTAAAGCTGTTGTCCTGCAGGGGGAGCTGAAGCTGTTGGAGCAGAGGATGGACAGAGAGAGGGAGGAGAGCAGGCGGAGGAGTAGAGAGAAGGACCAGCTCCTGTCCAAACGCAGTCTACAGATCAGCACTCTGCAAGGTCTCACACTCCTGTTTCCTGTCATCCATGCATGTTTGAGTAATTTAGAAATCTCTCCCTGGCCCTATTCAAAACATTATGGTTAGCTGTAAGATTCTGTATGAGGCTCCACTCACAAGCCTACATCACCCACGCTCCCACTCGACAATTCTCCAGAAATATACAAAAATATGATACAAAACTGTACACAGCGGCATGTGTGCAGTAGTTTTATTAGCGGGGCGCACACTGATTGCAATGTGATAGTGCTCCAAAGGGGGAGTGACTTAGGACGGAGAGCAAAAAGATGGGGAAACTTACAAAACATGTTAATGCATTGTTTTCAGTGAATATAGCATTTTCAAAACAATAAAAGGTAACATGGTAATTTAAATATGTGATGTGTTAGCAGTTAATGCCCCACAGAAGTGTAATACTCCCTCTTTAAGGGAGAACCTCTACGTATGCCATGTGTCCAACCACGAAGTCAAATTAGAACCTTCACCAAAAATTTTAGAACTATATGCAGTATTTTTTCCAATACAATCTTACTTAAATATAGTCATGTAAAATATGTTTTAGTGAAATGAGTAGTCTAACCTGTCAAAGACACTAGTCCATCCTGTTGTGTCCTCTCCAGCTCAGCTTAAGGAGTTGGCCTACAGCCCCAGGAACTACAAGAGGACCCTCCCTTTGCAGTACACGTGGCCCGGGGTGGACCTGGAGACAGTGCAGCCGCTGGAGGACGACCTGGTGTTTGCTCAACTCAAACCGGGAGAGTCTCTGCTGGAGGTGCACCTGCAGGTAAGAACCTGCCTACAGGTGGTGTCCACGGCAACACTGTCTTGTAGGATTTTGAAATGTCACACGTAGCATTCAGTAAACTCTTTGTTCTGCAGCTCTGCGTTCTACAGCTCTGTTCCCATGCTTGTTAGAACATTTTGAAAGAAGGGTTCCATGTGGCCATGTGCTTATGTTTCCACATTTAGGGACATATTTGATTTCTTTTACAGTCAAAACATTGTTGTAGCGTTAAGGTAAAAGTCAGCAGCTTTGATGCACTGAACTATGGGGGAGCTGGATGATATGAAATCAAAAGAAATCAGAGTACTGCTTACATGACATTTCAGAAATCAGATCATGATCAGATCTTTGTTGTAAATGTTGACAGGGACAGACAGGTGACAGGAGAACAATGTAAGAACAAATCCAGTCCATCTGAATGAACAGTTCTGTGTGTTTCTCTCCCTGACAGAGTGTGACATTCACCCCATGGGGCCTGCGGGCTCTGGGGGCCTTGGCTCCACAGCCGCAGGAGGAGGGTCCCCTGGAGGACGTGGTTACCTTCTGCACCTACAGTCTGTTGGACTTCGAGCTGCACTCTACCCCCCTGGTGTCTGGGAGCCAGCCCAGCTACGGCTTCACCTCACGCTACGTGCTCACTCCGCGGGACCTGGAGCGGCTCAGGGGCTCTGGAGGAGGGGCCCCTCTGGAGCTGCACCAGGCTGTGGGAGGGGTCCGCTTCGTCACACACGGAGGGGGGCGTGTGAGTCTGCAGGGGGCGCTACAGAGGAGAGGAGAGCGCGTGGAGGGACGAGTAAACATCACAGGTACAATATGTAGGCCGTGAAGAGTTCCTTTAAGGTCACTTTCTTCTGAACAGACCATAGACTTTTACCAACCCACTAGCTACCACATTCCAAACAGGCTCCAATGACTCTGGCTCAAATTCACTTTCTATTGAAAAAATGTGGTTCCTCTCTCAGACTCTGTTGCTGTCAGGCTCGTCATTCTGACCTTAAAGGTTGTATAGAGGATTTTCCAAGGAACGAGAAATCCAGCGACTGTTTGTCCTTTTTCAAATGTTGCGCATGCGTGAAACCACCCCCCTCCCCTACAGCTCCTACGTAGAAACGCCTCCTCCCGCCTCCTCCTTACGCCAGAAACAGGTTTGTTTACAGCCGCTGCACATGACTTGTAAACAACTAACTACAGTGTTGGTTAGGCAAGACGGAGAAGTGAGGAGTGGGGGGAGCGGGTGTGCGGACATTTCATGCGCGGACGAGAAGTGAGGAGCAGGGAGAAGAACGGAGAGGAGAGCAGGGAGAGGAGAGGGGAGAGGGGAGCGGTGCGCGGAGATTCCGTGCCCGGAGAAGTGAGGAGCAGGGGGAAGAGCGGATCGGGCAGTGGGGACAGGAGCAGGAAAGGGGAGCAGAGAAGAGTGCGCGGAGATTCAGTGCGAATGAACTAGCTACAACACGCAGCAGCAAGCGGACTCTTTCTTTGCCTTGAAAATTACGTTTTCAGACATAGGATATCGCTTCCGTGTCCTGAAAAACATTTGACTAGCTCTTGGAAATAAAGTACATTTTCATAATAGCAGAAGTGACCTGTCCAGGAGTAATTTGGCGACCAATGCGTCAGTCTTTAGACCCTAACCCTAACCCTAACCCTAACCCTAACCCTGCTTCAGTTGCGCCATCGCTGGAATGAATCTTCAAGAATCACCTTAGTTTGGCTTTGCTGCTTTTCCCCTTGTCTTCTTCTTTCAGCAATCTCAAAAACTGACTTTCTTTTGCGGCGAACTGCTCCTGGATTCTTGTCGCCATTGCAACAAACTTTGTGCTAACTGCAAGGAAGATATAGGTCAAAAAAAGCCGCTAAGTACTGTTGCGTTGGTGGAGTAAACAGCGTCTGTGCGGCTTGCGTCTGTGGACTGCGTGACAGGCGTATGTAAACCACGTACCGGCGGCGCACAGGCAAGTCAGTTACGCTAGAAACGTAGGGAGATTGATTGACAGCCTGTCAGCTAACAGATAACGAGGCAGTGTCGTTATCTATTGGCAAATGTTTAGCCCCACCACGTCCAGAGTTGATGAATTTTTATTCTCTTTTTTTTTGGTCATCATAATTACAAGGCTACTGCATCTATAATCTATCACTGACAATTTGAAACAAAAAAAATCCTCCATACAACCTTTAAAGTGTTTGTATTAAGCCTTTCTACATTATCCTTTTTATTTCACTATTTTGTCTGTAAATCAAGATATGAACATTAATGAACATGTGTATTTCTTGCACTACTCCTTCACATATGATTTTTAACAGATATGATGTTTTCTGAATTATAAAATTTTTGTGCTTTGTTCTTTCAATTAGATTAACTTTTAATTATAAATCAGATATTACTTCCCAACACTTACTTCAGTTACTTTGGATTTACTTTTTTCCTCTTACCTGAGTACTTTCTCTCACCATCACTTCGTACTTCAACTAAAGGTACAGTGTGTAACTTTCTGGAGATGGCACATTAACTGCATGATTCCATGAAAAACAGAAAGCCATACTTCAAAACGTTCTCCATGAAGTTTTATGTCATACTGTAAAGGATTATAGCCAAAGAAACAATATGTCCATGGAAACAAGCAGGTGGAGCATAATGTATTTTTCTCAATGAAATTAAAAACAACCATAATAATAAATTATGCTTTTATTTTAGTCTATTTCTTTGCTAAAAGTTAAACACTGTGGCTTTAAGTACTGTATTTTTCGGACTATAAGGTTCACTTAAAATCCTTAAATTTTCTCAAAAATCGACAGTGCACCTAAAAATCTGGAGCTCCTTTAGATTGATTGATAGCATTTATAGCGCCTTTCAAGACACCCAAAGTCCTTTACAGTTCATTATTCAGTCACTCCACACTCAGTGGTGGTAAGCTACTACTGTAGCCACAGCTGCCCTGGGGCAGACTGACGGAAGCGAGGCTGCCAATCTGCGCCATCGGCCCCTCCGACCACCACCATCACTCACGCTCACACCTCTTTCATACTAGGCATTGTGGGTGAAGTGTCTTGCCTAAGGACACAACGACAGTTTTTTTGCCACTGGCGCCCCCCTTTTGTATTCATTCTGGTTGTGCTTACTGACTTCATTTTATGTGGTACACGGCACTCAAAAATCTAAATGTTTTAGTACAACTTTGGTAAGCTACGAAGCCGCACCGCTTGATGGATTATTGGAGCATTATGGCTACTGTAGTCAGAAGCGAAGAAGAGTTAGTCTGACAGAAGCTGACTGCATCAGTGCACAAGGACAAAACTGTTTTTTTTTTCAGTGCTTATAGTTTATGCAAATTAGCCATGTGGTTTTAAGTTTAATTTCGGTAAAACGTAAACAAATGTGCGCAAAGCTGCATTAAACACTTTATTATTCAAGGGTCCTCCTCATAAAAAAACAAACTTAAATGGTCCAGGCACATTCACATTCATCATCCACATTCACCGAGACAGGGAGGCAATGCCGGGCGAATTACACCACGATCTGCGAATGCATTGTGGAAGCCTGGGCTAAAGGATCAGTCTCAAGTGTCGTCCTTTTGTTTCTCTTAATCTGCTTTATAATCCGGTGCACCTTATGTATGAAAATAAACGAGAGAATTCAACATTATTGATATTGTGCTTTGAAATCCGAAAGATGCGGTAAGTAATGAATTTTGTAACAAATTTAGTAGTAAGTAATTTTTGCTGCTCTCCTCACCTCTGGAAAACAGTGAGCTGTAGTAGAAGGAGCAGTTGTGACTTGAGTTGACAAAACTGTATGTGGGTATGTGTGTACCATACAGGTCCAGAGGGGGGCGCTGTGGGCGTGCTGGACTTTTGGGCTCGGCTCCACACTCCTGCTGAGCCTGTGGATTCTGGGCCCAGGAGAACATATGGGAGACCCTCACAGAAGGTCCCAGAGCAGGTCACTCTGGGCTGGCAGGAGATCTCTACTGAGGTACTGCGCTAAACCTGATAGAATCTAATCATATTATCCTCTCAATAGAAAAAACTGTGCACCGATCTACACAGTTTTCTATTGCCTACAAAAATTGACATCAGACATCAAACCAAACAAATAAATGTGGAGTGCTTTGTCTGCGTACAGTGGTGTATGAATGTGTGTGTGAATAGACCTATTCCAACAGCTAGAGATGTTCACAGATTATGTGTTTAAATGTTGAGCATTTAAACTGCACACATCTCTCTATCTATTCTAATATCTACATCATAAAATCTATTTTTAATTTTAATTGTAGAATCAGCCTGAGTTAACAAGTTACTTCTGTATTATTCATTGCCATACCTGGTATGGTATATGGGTGACCATAGCGGCTTGTCAAACCTGATCCCATCAGATCTCAGAAGCTAAGCAAGGCCAGACCTGGTTAGTACTTGGATGGGAGACACTGGGAAAATCAGGAGCCACGGTGGTGCGCCAGTCACAAAAACTGTCATTGTGTCCTTAAAGCATTTCACCCACATTGCCTTGTATGAAAGTGGCATGTGTGTGAGTGATGGTGCTGGTCAGAGGGACCGATGATGCCGATTGACATGGCAGCCGTGCTTCAGTCAGTCTGCCCCAGGGCAGCTGTGGCTACAATAGTAGCTTACCACCACCAGGTATGGAGTGAATAAATAATGCTCTGAAAGCATCTTTGTGACACTATATAAATAAAAAACTGACATAACATTAGTTTTGCTCAGGAGAAGTTCACTAATGCGTGGTCGTTGTTTGCCTTTAAGTTCTTGTCTTTCTGCCCCTGATAGCTGTGGATAAATTCATCATGAATAAAATATGTTCTTGTCGGCCTTGTTGGTTGAAGTGACGGTGACGGGGCAGATTTATGAAGCTGGTGGAAAATACACAAGACATTTCCACAGATATTTTGCCATAATATGGCATATGTTTAGCCTACATCTACACGTCCAGCCTTTTTGAAAAAGGTCTGTGGGTGACTGGTTCCTTGTTGTAAAGAGCTTTGAGTGCCTTGAAGGTGGAAATGCTCCAAAAAATGTGACCATTTACCATGTATAAGTAGTTTGTTTTTGATGTGAACAGAGCACACGTCCCTCTGATTGGTTAATCTGCCTGTGTGTGTGTGTGTGTGTGTGTGTGTGTGTGTGTGTGTGTGTGTGTGTGTGTGTGTGTGTGTGTGTGTGTGTGTGTGTGTGTGTGTGTGTGTGTGTGTGTGTGTGTGTGTGTGTGTGTGTGTGTGTGCGTGTGTGCAGGAGGTACTGGACCTTGACGTTGGGGTTCCTAATGAGCTGCTGGTGATACTGGAGCGCTGTGTGGGACTTAGCTCTCGCTGGCCTGGGGTTCTTCCAGATGCCTACCTGTCCTACCGCCTGTACGACCTGCCGCCCCACGCCTCCCCCACCGTGCCCTGCTCCGCCGACCCCGTCTACAACCACTCCACCTGCTACCCCCTGGCCGTCACCCAGGACCTGCTCAGCTACCTGCGGTACCAACACACAAGAGAGCTGCCACTCACTACCGTACTTCATCAGTGTGTAGCAGATAGTTGTGTGTGTGTATGTGTACATAATGATGTTGTGTACCTGCCCTGACAGGTGCAGCAGTCTGTGGGTGTACTGATTGATTTGTTTTTATTTCAAGTTTGTGCCAAGAGAGAAACAATAATCATCTACATACTACATCCACATTGTAAACAACAGAAAAGCACATTTCTCGCAAAGCAGTGGGAAGAAGAAAAAACTTAAATGACCCCATGACATAGTTTCAAAAATGATGTGTTTTTAATGTACATTGATCACGAAATTTTACATATAGCAAAATAAATTATAGACTATGCATACTAAATATACTGTTATTTCCGAACTATTGAGCGCACCTGAGTATAAGCGGAATCAACAAAATTTTAAAAGAAAAAAAAAAGTATATATATGGGCCGCACCTGAATATAAGCCGAAGGTGTCCATGTCTTCAAGAACGTTTTCAAGTTGGGGCCATCTGCTTTTATCGCATCTTAAAGCTTTTGTCATCTTTTTACATTGAGTCAGTTCATCACACTGCCGTCGCCAATATCTCACCATTGACTCATTGATGCCGAGCTGGATGTCTGGCTACTGAAGTTCGAGACATTTCTTCTCGTCATTTAAAGGTTGTATAGAGGATTTTTTAAGGGAGGAGAAATACAGCGACAGTTTTTTTTTCAAATGTTGTGCATGCGTGACACCACCTTCCTCCTCCACAGCTCCCTCAGTAGAAACACCTCCTCCCGTCTCTTTACTCTAGAAATCACGCTTGTTTACATCCAGTGCGCGTTCAGAATTACTGCTGAAGTGACCTGTCTAGAAATGTTTTAGGGACCGACACATCAGTTTTTAGACCCTTCGTCTGCTTCACTCGCACCATCGCTGGAAGAAATCTCCAAGAATCACCTCAGTTTGGCTTTGCTCCTTTTCCCCTTCTCTTCTTCTTTCCATGACCTCAAAAACGGACTTTCTTTTCCAGCAAACTGGTCGTGGATTCTCGTTCTCCATCGCGACAAACTTTGTGTGAATTGCGAGAAAGCAACTGTTTGAAAAAGCCTCTAAGAACCGCTGCATAAACCACGTAATCCCCACGCCGGCAAGTCAGTTACAGTAGAAATGTAAGGAGTTTGATTGACAACCTAACAGCCAATAGATAAAGAGGGAGCCTCGTTTTCTATCGGTTGATGTTTATCTGGCCTCACTACGTTCACAGTTGATAGATTTTCATTGTTTTTTTCTTTTTTTTTTTTTGGTCATCATAATTACAAGGCTGCTGCATCTCTGTTTAAACTTTCAATGACAATTTGAAACAAAAAAAAACAATCCTCCATACAACCTTTAAGCACTAACCTGCATTTAACACATATGGGTCATTAAGACGTATCTCACTCACTAATGTTAATATAGCATCATAACTTATTTTATAACACGGCGATAAACTGTTTTAGTGCACTGACCATAGCTAACGTTGCAACTTCATATTAACCGAACAGACAGCGGCACTTTCTGCACTCAGGCTGTGCACATCCGCTGTGTTGCCAAACCATAGACCGTACATATGAATGGACAATGTGCCAAACAAATAATCCATCCATATATTCACCGCATTGTTGTATTAGCCGTAGAGTTCAAAGTGTGAGAAAAAAGTAGCGTCTGATAGTTTGGAAATGAGGCTAATTGTAACGCATTTCTTTCTTTTTTCTTTTTTTTTTTTCTTGTATGTGTTTACATGAGTGATGTTGTGCCCCTGCCCTGACAGGTGCAGCAGTCTGTGGGTGTATGTGTTTGATGACAGTGAGGACCAGGTGCCCCCTGTGTACCTGGCTAAGACCCCTGTGCCCCTGCGCGCCCTGACTCTGGGCAGGGACATCCGCGGTGAGACGCTGCTCTATTCACATTTATACAGGGCTCAGATTGTAGAAAATGTCTGCTCCACCTTATTTTTAAAGCTCATTCACTGGACATCATTTCAGCAACAATATGGCTAGCACTAAAAAGCTTGTCTTGTTAATAGCTAGCAACCTAGCACCTTTGTAACCTAGGGCAGGGGTGTCAAACTTATTTTGGTCCGGGGGCCATCTCCAACCTACTTTGATCCCAAAGGCACTGGAAAAAAAAAAAAAAAAGGCATATATACCCCATAAATAGCAATAAGTTCAAATATTTGTGCAGACAAACACAAATCTGTTAGAGAAATCTTTGATGAACTCTTTCTTTTACAAAGTATTATAATATTATGAACAACCTGAAACTTTAAGAAAAATACAATTTCAACACAATGTTTTAACATGAACTTGTATGTAAATAGGAATAAGTCAGTTTTTCTTGGAAAATCCTGCACTCGGTTCCACTTTTCTCATGTTGGACATTTTTCTGATGAGGGTGTCACGGTCAACAGTCAAAACGATCGTCCTTTAAGAGCGTTTGGAAAGAGACAAGTCTTCATTTGTGCTGCTCTGGTGGGAGGGGCCACGTACAGAGACGCTGGAGACGCTGCTGTGATAAACACCACAGAAAATTACCATATTTTAATAGAAAATATAATTCAAATATTTTAGTAGAAAGTCAGCCCAGGGCCGGATTAAAAGTCTTGTAGGGCCGTGTGTTTGACATTCCTGGCCTTGGGTGACCAGACATTCCTTTTGACCCGGGACAGTCCCAAGTTTGAGCCCTGTGTCCTCTGTCCAAGCAGATTTATCCAAAACCAGTGATTTGTCCCAGTTTTGTACAAGAAATGTTCCAGGTGTCCGTATTTTTGACCAGTTTGATCTCTACCAACATTAAAGAGAGACATAATCATTTGTGTATGTAAAATACAGAAAAGCTGCTTAAAAATGACTGAAACACAAAGAAAATGTGACTATGCTGACTCACATATCAGGAATAGGCTGAGTGCAGAACAATTTTTCTTAATAATAAAACAGTGAAACAAGTGCGTAATTATCAACCACCACAAACCGGATTTTGAAAATCTTGTCACTCGATTTTCACCCTATCACTCTACTCCTTATTTAATTTGTATTTTACGAGCAATTCTGGTGCAGGATTTCCTTGCCTGTATTTATGTTGAAAAACCTGTAACTTTTGCCAGGTTCATTGCCATTGTACAACTTTCTAAACAAATTGATCTCTGTTCAGACAAGCCGATGACAGGTGATGCGACAGAGACACTGCAGTGGAATTATCTCTTTGTTTTTACACGATACATTCTAGTAGTTTTTTATGTGCTGTAGAGAAATTTGCTGTGAAAAGATGTCCACCACTGACTGATTAAAACTGTGGCACTGACTTTTCTGACTGACTCTTTTCCCACCAGGGGACTACGTGCTGAGGGATGCAGCTGGGGGCCCTCGGGGGGTGGTCCGGGTCCAGATCAAGTGGAAGTACCCATTTAAAGCTCCGTCTGAAGAGCCAAAGGACAGAAGACCTGAGCAGGAGGAGGAGAGGAGGAGAGTGGAGTCTATCAGCGCCCACAAACCCATCGCCAAACCCAGAGTCAAGGTCACACCTCCCACCACACACTCGGGACTGCTCTGTGTTATTGTGCTATACATTTTTTAGAACTTCACTAGAACACATGTTACTTTAATACTATTATTTACTTCTCAAAGACAGTATAAATGAAACTCCATGTATGTTTTTGCTGAGAGGACAGTATAATATGGGTAAAATCTCAAAAAAGAGAATTTTGTATAATATGTGTTGTTTAAATTTTAGAATTACATTTTTTGAGTTTTCAACCATGTTATATTGTTGCTCTGTGTCAAAATCTACCAAGAGTTGTATTTTGTGTCACTGATGCTTGTTTTATTAATCCATTAACCCACAGTCATCTTCCTTAGGCCTCAAAAATGCTCCATTTTGCCCAAATTGTTCCATCACAGATTAAACTGTAGACATTTATGCAGTACACAAACCACTCACATTCTACAGTCAAGTTATGGTCACAACAAACCCATGGTTCTATTTGCAAAGCACTGCAGACAGCAGAAGGAGCACCAACGGTTAACTGCCTCTTTGGAAACAAAGAGGAAATTAAGTATATTTCCAAATGCAAACATTTTGCATGCATTTTAAGTTATAAAATGTGAAAAACTTATCCCACAGTGACCAAAAGCACATTTAAAAGAGTATTAAAGCCATAAGAATATATTAGGTGTGTTCTTTAGTCTATCAGTCAAAATGTATACACTGTTAGATGGTTGGGTCATCACACTCACAGTTTACCTTGAGAGTGTTTTGCCTACAGCCGAGCCCTCCACTGAAGCAGAGGAGTGCTCCTCAGCTTGTGGTCCCAGTGGAGACCCCCAGAGAACGGAAGAGGTCCTCCAGGATGGGCCCTGGTCTAGAGCCCACTCCACACAGCAGGTGCATCTACGGACTTATATGTGGGACTATATCAGCAAGTGCAGACCTACAGATTTAGAACTTCCTTAGTTTTGGTTTAGACCTGGTACAGTCTGAATCTGAGCCTGATTTGAACTAGGACTAGCCCTGGTTTTGAGCTGGTTGATTGGCTGTAGTCCTGGTATAGTGCTTGTTCAGACCTGGTTAAGTCCTGGTTTAGTTGTAGCACATTTATAGTTTATTTCTGTTGTAGTTGCCTACTGGTTTAGTCTTGTGTTGCAACATGCTTAGACCTGGTTGTTCCCCTAGTTGAAGCCAGGTTTAGTCTTGGTTTAGACCTGATATGTCTCATAGTAGACCTAGTCCTGGGCTGGTTTAGACTTAAATAAGCCATGGTCAAGTTTTGAGTTTTGCTCTGGTTTAGTTCTGGCCTAGTTCCTCAAAGATTTGACTCTTAACATATTGAGGTCATGTTTTCCCGTGACTTACCCCACTATCCTGTACAGGCGCTCTCCCTCCAGTTCTCCCTCCAGGGGGCGCTCTGCTAGAACCTCAAGGAGAGACACACCTCCTGCTCCTTCTCCCTCACCTCCTCCTCAGGACCAGGCCTATGTGGAGCAGGACTCTGGGGCTGAGCACAGAGATCACCCTGACACTGGTGAGTGAGTCTCATAAAATACCAAGAAATATTTAGACAAGCAGTGTGTTCAAACAGTAAATGTAGTACATGCAAAATTAAAGTCTCCAGTGAAATTTGAGATTGTAGAAATAAATAAAAAAAAGTCACTTCAAAATACGACCAGTGTTTTGCTCAAAGGCACTGTACCTGAATTCCACCAGTCTTAAACATGCAAAAACAGAACTACTGTACTGTTGCTCCGGAGTATAAACCGTACCAGCCCAAAAATCGCACTTTTTGGAGTAAATGTATTTTATAAAATCAGAGACCAAGAACTGAATTTTTCATCCTTGGTGTCCCTTCTGAGCAACTCTGCGACCTCCGGAGGTAACAGGAGCACTGCTTCCTCTTTTGTGTAGCTGTTGTCAGACTCAGCATCAGTTAAAATTATTCTGGCCTTTCTGAATCTCGACAGGATGGTTTCAGTGTCACTGAAGTCCAGGCTTTGTCCATCTATTAAGTGACTTCCAGGAAAGCTGCAGGGTGCATCCTCCCAAACTTTCTTTCTGTTGCTCAATTACCATTTTCAGCTGCAGATTTCACTACCTGCAGCAGGACAGAGGCTCTTTCTGCAAGAGACATGTGCAGTAGAGCCAAGTGACAGTGGTACAGGAGTAATAGGAGCAGCAGATACTAGCATACAAGTCTAGAGCGCCCTCTTGTGGCTGTCAGTGTGAACATTTTAAGTCGCAGGAAACACCCAAACCATGAAAAAAGTGCAACTTGTAGTCCGAAAAATACGGTAGTTGATTAATGCAAACAGTTTGCAGTGGTCCAGAATTCTTATGCTCTGAACACACACAACAGCGTCACCTCAGGGAAATCCAGGCTCTGGATTGTTCATATCTTAATTTAGAGACAGAACAGCAAAATAATCAGATACAGCAGGTTAATACGAATATTTGAAGAGCAAGCAAGCAGAGCAAGGATGAGTTTATAAGCATTTTTCATGACTCTCAGTGGAGTTTTGCCACAATGGTAATGCTAAGAACAACTATTATGCTAACTGTGCAATTCCTGATTCTCAAACAATAACGCATTCCCACTCTGCTCACAGCTGAAGAGCCTGTCTCTTCCGTGGTCTCCGAGTGCAGCTCCACACACAGTGATGAAGTGGTCGTACCTCCAGCCCGCCGCCTGCACCAGGGGCCCAGGCTCCGAGTGGAGATCTTGTCCCTATGCCTGGAGCCTTGTGCCCCTGTGGCTCTGGACAGGTCTGTGCAGCGTCTGTTTGTGGAGTACCGCCTGCTGGGGGTCCCTCTCCACTCCACCGAGACCCCCATGTCCCTGAGGAAGCCCAGCCGAGGAGAGGAGGTGCACTACAACTTCAGCAGAGGTACACACACACGCATACACACACACACACGCACACACACACACACACACACACTATAACTTAACATGAGATAAACACATGCACATGTTTCCAGTCCCAGGTGCGGTGACCGCGATAACAAAAAGAATGCATCTGCGGAACAGAGAGAGTGTCTTATAATAGAAGTAAAATAAATATTTTCTTAATTATCAGAAATTATTAGTAAAAATAACAACTATAATAACAATTACTAAATGTGGTGAGACATATTTGGGTGCACCACACACACACACACACACACACACAGACACACACACACACAGACACACACACACTCCAACTTAAGCAGAAAAACACACAATACATGTGGTACACACACATACACATTTCATATAGTGATCTTGTTAGTTCCATAAACCATATCCCCAGTTGTGTAGTCCAGCTATTCCCAGACTCGGCAGTGTTCACAAAAGCATTCTGTCTCTCTCTCTGTGTCAGTGATCTATGTGGACGGCACCCATGCAGCTCCTCTGAGACACTACCTGTTCACCATGCTGGAGGGAACAGACCCCCACCAGGGCAGGTATGCAGTTCGCCCCCTCTCTCTGTACCATGGTTTGTAGGAGTGTTGGAACTACATGTGCCAACAATATGTGTTCTGATACTGCATTCAGTGGCATTCAGAATACAGTTATTTAACTGAACCAGAAAAGGAACACAATGGATTTTAGTCATACATTGTAGTGCAGGTGTTGTGTATCCAGTATTTAAACACATTCCACTGTGGTCCAAAGGATGCAGTTATTGCGCCCTCTGTGGGAATCTAAATAAAATGACAAAATATTCATTTGTAAACAAGAAAAAATGCTACACACTCAGTAGTATTCTATCAATTAGAGTCCAAAGTGGAAAAAAAATAAAAAAACATAAAAATGTGAAACACTCGGCCATATTGGATCTAACCAGAGACCAACAAAAGCACAAAAGTACACCCGGTCGTACTTTAGACATCTCCAGCAGTTTTCAATCTTGGCCAAAACACAGAAAACCCATGTGTGATTAAAGATGATCAGTTCCATTTGTGATATATTCTCGGCTTTTTCAACTAAAAAGTTTAAATTAAAAATAAATAACATAAAATAGTGGTTCTAGAAAAAAAATCTATCTACCAAGATAGATAGATAGATAGATAGATAGATAGATAGATAGATAGATAGATAGATAGATAGATAGATAGATAGATAGATAGATGCCGATGGTGAAATGTTCTTCAGTTACCTGCTGCCAGTTACACCTGCCACATATGATGTAAAAAGCCTGTAGTGTCTCAAATGCTCATAGCTGCCTCTTGTACGGACTCCATATGGAAAAAAAACAGCTCATTTCAAAAAATCAATCTGTCCCTTACTTATGTCCACTGAACTGCAGAGGCTGCACTTTTTAGTTGGTTAAAGTTTCAAAAACTGCTCAGTGTGTGAGCCTGGTAAGCTCACAATGGCAAGTTCAGACTGCAGGGCTTGATGCTCAGTTTGGATTTTTTTGTGAAATCCGAAGGACATGACGACATCACACACAGCAAGTGTGCTCGGTGTTTATCTAAGTTGGCTAAATGCTGGGCTTTTTTCCCAAAATACAGTCCAGTTCTTCACAAGATGGTCAGGTTACACGTCCACGGCCGCTTTGTTTGTTTGAGTCTTTAGCCTTGTTGTATTTGGCAGGACATAGATTGGAGCCAGGACCGCCTGTGGCTGATCGTATGTAGTATGATTTCTTTGGCAATCATTTCAAAAACCGCCCAGTTCACGCTAACCTCACTTTCCCTCCATTGACTAGACTCTGAGTCTGATGTGTAGATGGGATTAATGCGACCTGGCCGCTTAGACTGAAGTCATATGTCAAAAGATCAGATATGTATCGGTTTCAGGAGCACATATCCAAGTGGCCTGGGTCACATTTGAAAAAAATTGGATCTGTGTTGTTCAGACTGTCATTAAAAGATCAGATACAGGAGCATAGGGGCCAAAAAATCTGATTTGGGTCACTTCAGGCTACAGTCTGAACGTAGTCTGAACGTAACATGTCACAGTCACATTAGAGGTTTTTGTTATTGGACAAAATAACGTCGGAGAAGCTTGAGCTGAAGGATGAGAAAGTATAGTGTAAACACAACTTCGTAATAGTGTGTAACCTGCTGTTCATTTGTCTTGTTTTATTAAGCCAAGTGGCATGCACTGCAGAAATGAAGGTGTGCAAAAGTCTGAAGCCTAAATATTGCCATGTTACTGTGGCAGGTTGAAGTTTACAGTGGTGAGTGAGCCCATGGACGAGGAGGACGAGTGTGTGGACGTAGGGCATGCCTTCCTGGACCTTAGGGCCCTGCTGGAGACCGGGGAGGACGTGCTGGAACGAGACATCCAGAGTACGTGTCCACTGTCCCCCTGCCATTTCACCACGCTGCAAAAACCAACATCTATTTTGGTTTGAATTTAGAATATTCACAATTTTAATCAGAATTCAGAATTGTGGACTTGTTTATGCATCTTTTTAATTTATTTTGGACTAGTTTCTATATTGCTAAATATCTCTCCCCACTCTTTAACCTTTTTACTGCTGCTTAGTATAATGTCAAACAAAAAGATTCATAGCTTAATCATTGTAACTTTAAGACATTTGTTTTTCAGTTGTGGCCATAGACGAGGACAAAGAGGACAAAGAGGTGATTGGACATCTCAAAGTGTCCCTGGAAGCAGCAGTGGCTCTGAGCGGCATCTACAGAGAGTTCCATCAGCACACAGAGGAGGACAAGGAGAACAGAGACAGAGAAGACAGGAAGGACAGAGACAAAGAGTCGCTGAAAGTCACAGAGTTTGACCAAGACAGTGACTTTTGATATGTTTGTTTGGATTCTTCTTTTAGCATTCTATTATGTTAGAACATTTTTCCCTCGTCAAAACATGCCTGAAGAGGTTTTAGATGTCATTCATGCATGTTTGAGTATATTTGTGATTTCTCCCAGGCCCTATTCAAATTCTCTTTACTGTTAGCTGTACGGTTGTAATTGTTGATTAGGCAAACATAACATGAAAGTGCTCAACGATTTGATCTGGTCGCTACTTCAGATGCTCCGATAACAGGTGCCATATCCCTATGTCTTGTAACCAGTCCACAAATAAAAATGGCCAAGCACAAAATGTTATCTGTGTCTTCACTGCCATGGATGTAGTGTTTGTGTAGACATATAGGCTGTATCATGTGTACAATTATCTATTTCACATCATTTACATCATCTACCATAATAGAGACTGACTCATTGGATCATTTTGACACAATCACCTATATAAGCCTACCATATTTTCTGGGCTATTAGACACGCTCATAAGCCTCCATCCGCATCAAAAAACGATTGCGCGCCCCACAATCCAGAGCGCCCTATACATGAATCCACTCGGGTGTCCCAGCACGACTTCAGTAAACTACAAAACCGCACCACCCGCAGCGCACGCAAACACACACAGAGCAAACAGCGACCACACAGCAAAAAACACCCGCAGACACACTCATCACTCCACGCTGACAAGGAACGGAACGGAGGAACGAACCGAAAAAGCGAGCGTACCGTGCCACTTCTAGACACGACTGAACAACTGAGTCACTGCGAACACGCCAATAATCCAGCGGTTCCAGACAGCACCCTCCCTACACACCACAACTGAACAAAGCCCAGAGTCACCGTGAACGCCACAAACAAAGTCCGACTGACCCATCCAACTGTTGTGTTTCCTTTAAAGTCCAGTGCGGTTTATTTGTGAAAAAAGTTCAAAAATAGACCATTTAATAAACAGTGCACCTTATAATACAGAGCGCCTAATAGCCCGGAAAATACGGTATATGTTTACACAACTTCATCTTGCTGTGAACACAACAGACAGACTAGATCTTCTGTTTCTAGATCCAGATGTGGTGGGGATGTCCACTCAGCTGCAGATGTGGTGGGTGTGCACCTTAACCACTTGACCTGTTGCTGATGCTCTATGTTAACAAACTAATGTGGTTCTTGTGCTCTTTTATAAGTCACAACTCTGCCAATAAAAATACTCCAGGACAAATTGTTGCCAGTCCTTTTACTCTCTCAGGTGTGCTTGTGTAGAGATAGGCCTGTATTATATGCACATGTATGCAATGTAATATTTCATACAGTTTGCTGCCATAATATGGGTCTAAACTAGGATCAAATCAGGTAAAGAACATCTTGCTGTGAACACAACAACAGGCAGACTACATCTTCTGCTTCCAGATCCAGATGTGGTGGGCGTGTATGTAAATGTATGTACCACTTGATCTGGTCACTGCTGCTTAGACGCTCTGTTATAATGTGGTCCTTCCTTAGCACCCCAACTCTGCTAATACAAATACACAAACACACATTTTTGCCAGTATTATTTTTATCATTTTCATTGGTTCAGGTACAAAACAAATAACAACCATATAGGCCATCAAGTGTAGACCCACTATCCTGTACATGCCCAGTATTTGTCATCCCTAATGCACTGTGTAACTGGCTGGTATTAAAAAAAACCTTTGGGTTGGGAGGACCAGTACTCTAACTACTACTACTAACTAACTAACTGAGCCACTGTTACCTCACACTGTAAATCCATTTATATCCTGTAAGAACTCTGTCCTCCTCCTTTGGGACAGGCGAGGCCGCGAGCATGTGTTACTAACTGACACTCTGTATAAGCTGGTGGCCTCCTTTTGTGGGTCTCTGGAGGACACAGGCAGGGAAAAAAGGTCAGATAGATTATATAGTACGATTAAGCAACGATAACTATAGGAAAGTTTAGTTTTTGATTTTAGACATCAGGAGAGTTTCAGTTTAGTCTGATATTTTCAGTTCAGGGTGAGATCGTAGCGATTTTGAGTTAAGGCTACGTCCACACGACAACGCTTCTGGATTTTTTTCTTTGTGAGTTGAAAAAAATTTGCGTCCACACACGTGCCGGATCAGTAAATATTCACGTCCACATGACAACGGAGAAAATGATGTATTACATACAGGTGTGGCAGATGTGTATGTGGTGCTGTTAATAATGATAATAATATTTAATAATACAAATCTCATCACCATTTTTTAGACTTTCAGGCCATTTAACCGATTTTAGATGTATCCCTGAAATATAGCTGTTTTGTTTTGCAAAAGTTAAATATAAGTCACAGAAAGAACCCATATATTCCACTGAGTCGTGTCCTTTAGTCCGACAGAAGCTGAACCACATCAGCGCACAATAGCAAGCTGTTTTTTGGGCACTTAGTTTAGGCTAATTAGCCATGCGGTTTTAAGTTTTATTTCTGTAAAACGTAAATATGCTCAAAGCTGTGTGGGTAGGGGAAGACTTGTGGACATGGAAACGACGTGTCTGGATGCAAATCATTTCTGATACGGTGATACACGGATTCAATTCAGTGTAAACGTAGTCTTTGTTATTGATCCGTGTGTGTATTCTGTGGTGTGTGTTGTTAGTATTGGCGCTAGCAGTGTGTCTTGGTTGCCAGGTGATGGGAGCGGCTCCGTAGACTACACGTGTCCCATTTCGGCAACACTCTTGCAGTCTGTGGAGGCTAGTTCGAGGGCTGCAGGCTTCGCTGCATCAGGACCGTGGAGATGATGGGATCGTGACTTCATCGTTTTCCAAAAGCTGCGGTTTGCTCGTCCACATGACAATGCGACACCGTCATTTTCAGATTTCTCCACTCTGGAACCCGTTCTCAAAAAACTCAATTTTCGGCCACACAAAACACCGGCTCCGTGTGGACAAAAGACCACAACGAATACAAACTTCTCCGTTTTGGCCAAAAAACGTTGTTGTGTGGACGGCCCCTAAGATACAGATATAGTTATAGTGGAGATTTGAGTTCACTTATACATGGACAACAATGGTGAAGATTCAAGTTGTATGGGGTATAGAGTTGGGGTTTTTTTGCAATGAGGACCCCAAAGCAGAGGTCACGCCGGTCACATGGTTTGAGGTTTATTCAGACACTTGCCCTGTTTGGAAACAAATCAAAGTTAGTTCATAACAAATAATAACAATATAAGCCTAGTGCTGATAGATTTTTTTTCCACTGATTCTGCATCACCCATTGATTCTCTCATTCTACAATTTCAGGTGTACATCTTCTTCTCAGTGAACTTCAGAGATTCCTGCTGCATTTCATGGCACCTTTGTGACAGAGTCTTTAGCTGTGCATTTGTCCACAGGGAGGATTAGGGAGGAGCAGGGTCATCATGGACCGTTTCATCCATATGAATCTGTGGCAACGTGTCAACACTAAACGACTGTTTCAGTGCAGCCGCAGCCCTGCAGAGTGAAAATGCAAATGCCATTAAACAGGGTGTGACTGGAAAAGAACAATTTGATCAGTCGTCTACCCCCAAATATGTGCTAAGTACATTCTTTTGTGTTTGTGGGGTTGGACTAAAACATTTCACACTTTCACCAAGTCAGTGTCATGCAAACAGCTGAGGCTAAGAAAAAAACAAAGTACTCATACTGCAGACAAACTCCTTTATCTGGTCTTGTTCAGAGGAAGACTGTTTGTGTTTCCATTTCTGGAGTGCAGGTTTCATCATCTCAGTAAAAGCAATCAGTTATCATTTACAGTCAATCCACAAATGCAGGAATCTTCAAATGAAAAGAACACATTTTGGAGACTGTTGAATTCTTCCTCATCTGTGTCTTCAGTTGGTGCATCTCTGGAGGTGGAGGGTCTGTACAATTCCAACAGTATGTTACACTCAACTAATTCATTCATTATAGAATGAAGTGACAGGAGGTGCTTTTATATGGAAAGTTAGAACTTATATTATCTATGTTTTATATGGTGCAGAAGTTTGTTCACTGCTGCTGCCACTGGACAACGTTTCTACTCCTTTCACTGAAAAAACCTGCATCCTTGAAAAGTGTAGATGGTTTAGAGCTGTACAAATCATTTTAGATTAAATATTAAAATATTAATTAATTAATTAAATATTTGTTTGAGAAAATATTGACACAAAACATTCTTCCCCAACAAACTCTGTAATGAAATAACCATCAAAACAATAGACACATTTTTCTGTAACTAACTTATTACATATAAATTGATCTTTGAAATGGTGCTACTGAGTTGTCTTTGTTTTTTTGTTTTTTTTATAGTTCCTCAGTCAAAGTTCAAGCTCATCTTGTTGTAATGTTTGAGTATTTGTGACTGGCATGTGTAGACTTTTGTCCTGCTTCTTCAAGCTGTGGATGCAGTTTTCATAAATAAAATAAATTAAACTTATAATTTAAGAAGTGCACACCAAAATGTGATTATAATGTGATGTCTTGATTTTTATGATGAAATATATGAAATGTAAGCTGCAGTATCTGCTGTGAATATTCACAGGGACCAGGGTCAGAGAGAAATTATGATTTGATCTTTTATGTGTTGTTTAACCCTAATCAGTACATGCGAACCCTGGGGGTAAAAACGTCTCCATATTTCTAATTGCGTTGTGTCTTTTTCTTGGTTAGGTAGTTGTCACCCAACTTGTTGCTATCACATGCCCAAGAGCTCATTTCTTTACCATTATTTATGTGGTGTGTATACAAAAAATTCATTTGGGGTCCATGTGGACCCCAGCCAAACCAGGTGTCTAACATTTGGTTATTATTTGTTTTTGATATTTCTTTGACAGATACCAGAGTTGCATATTGTTTCATTTAAGTTAAGAAAGACTTACACTTGCATTGACAATAAATTCACATAACTTATCGTGATTTTCGTTGTTGTAGAAACTGACAATATGGCTAAACCTCAAACAAGATACAGAAGGCCCCGTGTTGATTTTCTTGCCAATATGACAATCTATTGTGATCACACACTTTTAGTTTTTTATGAGACACCCACATTTTCTTCAAACATATTTTTTGTTATTGTGGGGTCCACGTGGAGCCCAGTACCAAAGAGGCTAATTTTGCCAAAAGGGTTGTGTACACCCTATACCAAAAGGAACACCTATGATGTCTTTTCTTTGTTAGCATCAATGATGCAACAGAACATAAAAAAACTCAGCTTACACATGATTTTGCACCAAAAGTGACAAAAATGTGAAAAAAGAGAAAAAAACGTGAGGTTATTATTTCATTTTTCATTGCAAGTTATACCAAATTAATTTTGTTGTTTCTTTATTTATAGTATCTGAGGTTGTCACACTTGTCATAAACCTAATTTGGAGACAACTGTTACCTGCACACTTTTGGAAAATATAATATGATGTTGGGGTCCGTGTGGACCTCAGATGTACAGATTAGTAGGTTTTGGCACGTGTACTGATGAGTGTTAAATATTCTTTTGAAGGTGCGTGTAAATCCAGTTAGTGAAAAAGGTGTAAGTTTGGGCTGGATCAGTTACTAGCCAATCACAATAGCTGAAAAAAGAGGGCGTGAACTCTTCAGTGAATTTCCTCTTATAAATGAAACAGACACAAGGGACACATCATTTTGAATTTCCAACTGACTGAAGTCGTCTGAGTGAACAAGATATGTTTCCTGTTCTGCTTCATTTACAACTGTAATGGCTATGATCATGGTTTTATACTGAAATTGTATTGTTTTACTTTTTTACAGTTGTACAATGGCTACACTTCGCTCACCAAATACGCTCCCTGAAGCATGCAGCAAATGGCAAGAAATTAGGCAAGAACTGCAAGAATTAAATGTAAGTTTTAAAAAATGTGCTAAAAAATCTAAAAGAATGATCTAAAGTGAATCTTAGTCCTGAAATAATGTTTGTTTATTCATTGTTACAGCACAAAATGAGAGATGTTCACATACCATTAAAAACCAAGCAGGAAGCAGTGTTGGAAATGTCCAAAAAGCACTGTAATCTTATGAAAGAACTGAGCCAAATAATACAAGCAAATGAACAAAAGCTGGCTTTTTTGGATGGTGAGATTGAGAAAGAAAAGGAGCTTAAAGAATTAAGTGAGTATTTAGTTGTATTTATATACTGGATACAAAACCAAATGTTCTACACCACTGTTTAACTCTTTAACCATCTCTCCTTAGGGACTTCTTTAAACAAGACGCTCCCTTAAGAAGACAGGCCTATTTCTACTGCAAGAAACTACAAATTCTACAATGTGAATGATGAGCAAGAGTGTATAATCTCTGTGAAATGATTGAGCAACTGTATTTTGTGTGTCAAAAAGTCTAATTAAAATGATGCAAACTTGAAATGTGTCTGTTTGTGTGAGCAAGAGGAGTCATTAAGAACAAATAACAGTGAGAAAAAAAAAAAAAAACAAGTATCTTGAACAAGTTGTTACCTAGAGATACTGTACTTGCAGATTCAAGGTGATCCACCAGGATC